CTCCAGTTCCTCGACCTGCTGCCACCTGCCATCTACTTCCCCTTCGTCCCCCAAGTCGCCAGGAGCCTCCACGTTTTTAGAGCCAGTGGGTACTCTGAGTCATCACCTTGCCCCATCTCTGCACGTGACCCTGCTGGCCACCAGGTCCTCATGGGCAGGCTTGTGCTGAGCACGTCCGTGTTGTGTCAGGGGTACGACTAAGCTCTTCATGGTCACGCTTCAGAAACTCCTCAGAGCACCCCGAGAGGCATCATGGTTGTTTCCTTTCTGCACATGAGGGAGCGAGGCTCTGCCTAGCAGGCCAGTAGCTGGCAACTGAAAGTGTCCAGGGAAGCTTAAATGTGCTTCTCCCTGGGATTCAAGAACTCTTGCTCCTGGCTTCCTCGTTATGTCTCTGGCTCATCCTTTTCAAACTCCCTGTCCTTTGTCCACCTCTCGAGTGTCATTGTTTCTTGGGCTTGTTTCCTAATGGCGTGTCCTCCTCTCTGTCCTGCGTTCTCCCTGGGCAGTGTCCATCCCCGAGGGTTGCTGGATTCCATCTCCCAAACACCTTTGGAAGTCCTTTCCAGCACCTCCTCTCAGAAACCCCTGTGCTCAGCACAAAAGGGAAGCCCCCAGCCTTCCTCCCAGTAACCTGTTGTCCCTGCCTCAGTGGAGGTGACCAATCACCCCTTTCGTTGGCTGCTTCTTTAAGGATCATCCCAGGTGATCTCCCCCAGTGGTCCTCAAACTTGCTGGAATCTTGGAGAAACTTGAAAGGAAATGACTACTTTCTTAGTCCCACTGAGACTTGATTTAATTGCTTGGGGTTGTGGCATGGACATCCAATCCTTTATTGTGGTAAAACATACAAAATGTACCATCTTAAAACCATGTTCAGTGTCCAGTACAGTAGTGTCAGCTACATGCACATTGTCCTGCAATGGATCCTTGGAACGTTTTCATCTTGCGAAATTGAGGGGACAATTCCTTTAAGTCCTTTTCTCGCCCCTAGCACAGCCACCATTCTCCTTTTTCGTTCTAAGCGGGTGCTCTCATTAGCTCCCTCACACCAGTAGGATCACTTGGTATTTGTCTTTTTGTGACTGGCTTGTTCACTTGTCATACTGTCCTTAAGGTTCATGCACATCGCAGGTTATGAAGGATTTCCTTTTTTGTTACTGAAAAAGTCTGAATAGTATTCCATTGTTTGTCCTGTCCACACTCCACCCACCTCCACCGCCAGTATAATTGAGCCATCATTGACTTACAACATTGTATAAGTCTGTGGTGTTCAACACAATGACTTTATATACATACATATTCTGAGATGATTGTCACTATAAGGCTAGGGGTGTGTGTGTGTGTGTGTGTGTGTGTGTGTGTGAGCGCGTGCGTGTGTAGATAACATCAAAGGTCTACTTACTTAGAACAACTCTCAAGTAAATAATTCAGTATTGGGGCCTCCCTGGTGGCGCAGAGCTTAAGTCTCTGCGCTGTTAAGCTCCCACCAGCCACTGCAGCATGAGTTCAGCCAGGGAGCTGACCCACATGGCGCAGCAGACTTCTCCTGTCTTGCCTGATGCTCCCCTCAGCAGTGGACTTCATCATTCTGCCTCTTCTGCTCCCCACTCTGTCTCTGGTGAGTCCTCTCGCCCCCTACACCTCTGGCCTGTACCCCAGTTCTTGAATACATATATAAATAAATCTTTTTAAAAATTTAAGAAATATATAGTATTGTTAGCTACATTCAGCCTCTATGTATTAGACCCCAGAACCTATTTATCTTTTAATTGAAGTCTGACTTTTTGAGAAACAGCTTCCCATCCCCCTCACTGGCCCAGCCCTGACAACTCCAGTCTATTCCTACTTCAACTTTTCTGGATACCACATACAGGTGAGATCATGCTGTGCTTGTCTTTCTCTGGCTGGCTTATTTTACTTAGCATAATGCCCTCAAGAGTTATTGTGTTGTATCAGCATGATCTTCTCTTCTGTGACTGGGAGAGAATACATAGATGTGGATGGGGTGTTGCTCTATTTAGCTTGCTAGCTATGTTTTCTCTAGTTCACATTTTCTTTCCATTCATACACTGATGGAAACTTAGGTTGTTCCATATCTTGGTTATGTAAATACTGCTGCAGTGCCAATGAGGGCATGTGCTATCTCTTTGAGGGAGTGACTTCATTTCCTTTGGATGTATACTGAGAAGTGGGATTGCTGAATCATCTGGTCATTCTAGTTTTTCTTTTTTTTAAGATTTATTTATTTATTCATACAGAACTGGGGTACAGGCCAGAGATGCAGAGGATGAGAGGATTCACCAGGGACAGAGTGGGGAGCAGAACAGGCAGATGGACGAAGTACACTGCAGTGGGCGGGTCAGGAGAGGTCTGCCGCGCCATGTGGTCACCTCCGGGGCAGGCGGGGATCGAACTCATGCGGAAGTGGCTTAAGCTTCTTTGTGCTGTGCTTTAACCCACTGCGCCGCCAGGGAGGGCCTGGTCGTTCTATTTTTAAGGTTTTAAGGAACCTCATTTGTCCATAGTGGCTGCACCAATTTACATCGCCACTGCCACTGCGTGCACAGGGGTCAGCACTTGTCTTTTTGACAATAGCCATTCTCACAGGTGTGAGCAGGTACTTCATTTACATCATGATTGCTTTATTGGCTCCCCCATCCACTGTTTACAGTTGCTTCTACCTCCAGGCATCGGGAATAAAGCTGCAGTGAACAGAGGCTGCAAATAGCTCTTCAAGATTCTGATTTCAATAGGGGGCTGTCCCCCCAGAAGTGGGATTGCTGGGTCCCATGGTAATTCTATTTCTAAATGTTTCAGGGCCCCCATGCAATTTTCCGTAGCAGCAGCACAGTCGGGCAGACCCACAGATAGCACCATGGCTTCACCTTCTCTGTCCTTGCGCATTTGTTATTTTCTGTTTCGTGTCATTTAGTTTGGTAGCGACCACCCTCCATGCCATGTAATGCTCTGACTTGTATCCCCTGACGTGTTCTTGAGCATCTTTTCAAATGCTTGGCGGCCATTGTCTGTCTTTTTGGAGACATGTTGACTGTGTCCTCTGCTCAATTTTACATCTGGCACCTGCAGATTTTTTGGTTGTGTCATAGGAGTTTTCCATAAATTCTGCATGTGAATCCCTTATCAGGTATATGACTAGTAAATATTTTCTCCCAATCCATAGGTTGCTTTTCCACTCTGTTGTTTTTGCCACACCGAAATGTTAAGGTTTAATGTCCCATTTTTCCATTTACGTTTTTGCTGTGCTTTTCACATTGTATCCAAGAAATCACTGCTAAATCCAATATTGTGAAACTTCTCCCCATTTGTCCCAGGGTGTTATAATTTCATTTTGAGTTAATTTAAATCTATAACCCCTTTTGAGTTCAGTTTAGTAGATGGTGTAAGGCAGGGGAAACTCCATTCTTTTGTATGTGGAAGCCCAGTTTCCCGCACACCATTGTTGAAGAGACTGTTCTTTCCCACTGTGTACCCTTGCCACCTCGTTGAAGATCACTCGACCGTGTAAGTGAGGGCTATTTCTGGGTTCTTTCTTCTGTTCCATTTGTCTGTATTTCTGTCCTTATGCCAGTGCAATGCTGTTTTTGGTCACTGCCATTTTTGAAGGCAGGAAGTGTGAGACCTCCAGCTTTATTTTCCTTCTCTAGATCATTTCAAATGTTCGTGGTCCTTTGAGAGACCATATATATTTTAGTATTTTTTTTTCCAATTTCTGCAAAATCTCCTATGGGATCTTGATAGGAATTACTTTGAACATGTAGCTTGTTTTGGTTAGTGTGGACATTTTTACAATACTGTCTTCCACTCAGTAAACAAGGATGTCCTCTCTAAATTCTTCCCCCCCCGAAGCAAAAAGTAAAACAAATTTTAATTGAAAATGGATTATGGGTAAGATTAATAGGCCTGAGAGTATGAAATAGCCCTCTCTAAATTCTTTCAGAAATCTTTTGTAGTTTTTAATGTAAAGATCTTTAGCTTTTTTTGGTCAACTTTCTTGTTAATTTTTTAATGCTTTTGATGCTATTGTAAATGGGGTTGCTTTCTTTCTTTCTTTTTTTTTACTTTTTTTTAGATTTATTTATTTATTCATACAGAACTGGAGTACAGACAGGCCAGAGGTGCAGGAGCAGTGAGAGGATTCACCAGACACAGATTGGGGAGCAGAACAGGCAGATCTATGAAGTATACTGCTGAGGAGAGCAGCAGGCGGGTCAGGAGAGGTCTGTGGGGCCATGTGGTCACCTCCGGGGCTGGCGGGGATCGAACTCATGCTGAAGTGGGTTAGCTTCCTAATGCTGTGCTTTAACCCACCAGGGAGGGCCCAAGGGGTTGGTTTCTTAATGTCCTTTTTGGCTCGTTTGTTCGTGTGTAGAAACAATTCATTTTGTATTTTGGTTTTATATTCTGCAACCTTGCTGTATTCATTTACTAGTTCTAACTGTGTGTGTGTAATCTTTGGGTTTTCTCCATAAAAGATAATGTCATTGTGGACAGAGATAATGTTACTTCTCTCTTTTCATTCTGGGTGCCTTTTTTTTTTTTTTTTTGTCTTGGGTATCCTTGTCTTGTTCCTGATCTTAGCAGGAACTGTTCATTCTTTCAATCTTGAGTAAGATTTCAGCTGTGATCTTTTCTTATATGGCCTTTAGAGAGGTCATTTCCTTTTATTCCTAATTTGTTGGGTATTTTACTTCTTGACATAGTTAAGTAGGTGACCTTCCAGCCTCTTGTGATCTCTAATGTCTCCAAATCACAGAAAGTATAGAAAGAGCCTGGGGGCTTGGAACCAGCCATGCTGAGGGAAGTTGGAGTGTAGGGGTGGGCAACACTTGAGGTCTGTGCTTCTCCCCACCACCCCTTTTCCCAGCCAGTGAAGTGCAGAGCTATGGGGCGCAAGAGGCCTCCTTCCCACAGTCACAGACTGAACCCCTCAGGTTCCACTCAGGGACTTCCCTGCCGGCCCCACAATCCCTGTGGCCATGCCCCCCGGGCTTTCAAGCCCCCCTGCCCTGCTCATGTCCCACTCCACTGCCCCTTGGCCCAGCCCCAAGCCTAGATCTGTGCCCAAAATATCACCTTACTTACTGTCAGGCCCCTGGGAGGAGGATGAGATCCGCAGGGACCGGGTGGAGCCCCAGAGTGTGTCCCTGTCCTGGAGGGAGCCCATCCCTGCTGGTGTCCCTGGGGCCAACAGCACGGAGTATGAGATCCGCTACTATGAGAAGGTAAGTGAGGCTGGGGGGGGGGGGGGGGGCGCAGACTCTGGTCTGCCTGCTCTCCTGCTGGGCTAAAGTTCTTCCTGAGGTGTCCCCCAGCCTCCTGAGAGGCCTCCCAGGCTCAGGCCTTCTTCCCGTGCCCTCCATACCGGGGACCCTGCTCTTCCTCTCTCCCTCTGGTCTCCAGGCACCACCAATCATCTCCATTTTGACCACTTTACTAGGTGGCTTTCTCTGGGACTGATTCAGATTTTATGTGGTCAAAGCCAAACATGCAATTTGCAGAACCCCTCTTAGGAGAAAGAATGCAGGAATACCGTGTTTCAAGTTTTGCTTAGACATGGCACAACCATGGGAGCACCCTGCTAGGTCAGGAGGTATGCTGGGGCCAAGGTGTGCTGGCAGGTGTCTGACAGACAGCTCTCCAGAACCATGCAAGTATGAATTATTGCTCCAATTTTACTTTTACATAAAGGACTTGTAACCTATCGCCTACAAGTATTAATTTGAAATATACCGTGCTCCTCACTGTAAACACCACATAACCAAGTGATTCCCACAGGACGCTTTGGCCGGTTTCTGCTGAGCTTCTCTGTTTGCCGTCAACCTCTGACTACAGATCAACCCTGATTTGACAAATGGCGTTCTAGCCCAATCTCTTTTCTCCATAAATGTATTATCTTTAAATCTGATACGTAAGCTCCTGCTTCTCACCTTGGAGCAAATTTAGTTCATTAAAGCGAAGCTTGTCTTCAGCTTCAGCACTCCACATTTCAGATGTCACTCACTCCTCAGGGATTTGAGGGATTTCTCTGCTGAATCATAGAGTGACCTTTGAAATCTGCAGGTATGTTGAGAACTGTGTATTGGGGGAGCAGCCAGTTGAACAGGAAGAAAGAGTGTCTCCAGAGTCACTGGTGGGTGCGTGACCTGGGTGCTATTGGCTGAGGTGGAGAGCCGCTGAGGAAGAGAGCAGGTTTGGGGCAAGATGGTGAGCTTGGTTTTGCTCGGGTCAGCCAGGGGGCCTCGGGACATCCAGGTGGACTTGAAAGTTTGAAACCCAAAGGAGCGGTTTGAACTGGAGAGTGAGAGTTGGGAGTTTGCTGCATAGAGATGGCAGCTAAAGCTAGAGGGCCCCAAGAAGTGACACAGGAAGGGAATGTAGGTGAGAAGGTGACAAGACAGAGCTCTGAGGAACCCTGATGTATGGGAGGCAGCAGTGAAGGGACTGGGAAAGGGCTCAGCATGCATTGTTGCTTAGAAGGGACTCACAGAATGGAGACTTAGGGTCACAGCACGGACAATTCCAGACTGAGAGGGTTGGATGCTCCAAGGCCTTAGGGGGTACGTTTCTAGGGAACCAAAGCCCTTGAGGAAAAAAGCTAGATTAAAAAAGGGCAGTATTGGGCCCTCCCTGGTGGTGCAGTGAGTTAAAACACAGCACTGAGAAGCTAAAGCCACTTCAGCATGAGTTCGATCCCCGCCCCAGAGGTGACCCACATTGCACAGCAGACCTCTCCTGACCCGCCCGCTGCTCCCCTCAGCAGTGTACTTTGTCGTTGGCCTGTTCTGCTCCCCATTTATCTCTGGTGAAGCCTCTTAACCCCTGTACTTCTGGCTTGTACCCCAGCTCTATATGCATAAATAAATAAAACCGTAAAAAAAAGAAAAGGGGCAGTATTTAGAAGACTCTTGGAGTGTCTCTCATGGAGCCCAGTGACGGCAGTATTGCAGGCCTGCGAGCACCACCCCCCTCCACCCCTCTCCCCAGCAGTCCAGCCTCCTCTGCACGGTCAAAGCTGCCAGCTTGCCAGTGCTGCTCCATCCTTTCCCCAAACCCCTTCCCTGGGTCCTGCAGCCTTTGTCTCCCCACCTTTCAGGGGGTTGTTGAGGCTCCTGGAAGGGGAGTTCTGATTGGCCTGATGTGGCTCAGAGTCTGCCCTGTCCCTGAATATCATGACCTAGGTCTGGGACCACAGGCTATCAGGGAGGTGACCTTCTGGGGACTGTGAGCATGACAAGGGCTCAAATAAGGGGGTGTGGGCAGAGTGGAAATGTTGGGCACAGCTCCGGTACACACCATGATCAGATGTGTTAGGGTAGCTTGCAGTGGCACAAGACCCAGAGGAGTTCAGGAGGCGCCACCTGACCTTTCCTTGGAAACACTGCAGGAGGCGCTTCCTGAGAGCCAGCACAGTGGCTGCCCAGGGAGCAGCCTCACTCCTGGGGCTACAGTCTCTCTGTCCCTGTCCTGATCTGTGAAAGATAAAGATACTGCCTGTGCTTATGTGCCCCAGGCAGCTGAGCACCACCTGAGGACCTGAGGACTCCTGCAGGCCCCCCAGGGCCAGGAGGGTCAGGCTCTTTCTTACTGTCCCTCTGAGGGATCAGGCCCAGCCCCATCCTGCCCACCAGCCCCTGAGGGCCATTGCCCTGTTATCCCTGAGAAGGATCTGGCGCCTTCTCTAAGGTTTCTCAGAGTCGGAGGTGGCTGTTCTGAGTGTGGGCACGTGTGGTGGACAAGGCAGGACAACCCGAGTCAGGTTCTTCCACCCAGCTCACAGACCTTCCCTGGTTCTCCCAGGAGCGAGAATCTGGGCCTCACTTCTTGGTTCCTCCCCAGGGTCAGAGTGAGCAGACATACTCCACAGTGAAGACGGGGGCGCCTGCGGTCACGGTCACCAACCTGAAGCCGGCCACACGCTACGTCTTTCACATCCGGGCGGCCTCCCCGGGGCCCTCCTGGGAGACACAGAGCTTCAACCCCAGCATTGAAGTGCAGACTCCAGGGGAGGGTGAGTGTCATGTGTGCAAGGGCAGAGGGGCCTGCACAGAGACAGGAGGCTGGGCAGGGAGACAAGTGGGTGGGGACTTATCTGTGCAATCAGAGGAGCCTGCAGAAACAGTTACACCCTAATCAATGGGCGTATGTGGAACCTACCTATCAGTACCTGCTCACTGGTGTGAATTGGGCTGGGTGCCTGTCCTGAGCTCACTGGGGGAGCAGCTGGTGTCTCCTTTCCCCCCAAGCCTCTTCCCTGGCCTTTGTCTCCCCACCTTTCAGGGGGTTGTTGAGGCTCCTGGAGGGGGAGTTCTGATTGGCCTGACGTGGCTCAGAGTCTGCCCTGTCCCTGAATATCATGACCTAGGTCTGGGACCACTGGCCTCTTAGGGCCTCTAGGACCTCTGCCAGGCCCCAGGCCTGCTCCCTCATCCCTGCCATCTTCTCGGGAGAAGCGCTAGTCTTGTTACTGTTGAGCAGCTTTCTCTCTGCCATGGTACAGACCCAAGTATGGGCTGCCATCCCCAAGCCAAGTAAGCCTTAGGGCATGAAGACCCTCCGCTGGAGGTTGGGGGACCTGCAGGGGGTGCCCCGCAGCAAAACAAGCAAACAAAATGAGAACTGTACATGCTCAGGGAGCAAACTGTGTGGTACGTGACTCAGCTCTCAATAAAGCAAAATCACACGCGAACATGAGCCCCCAGTCTCCGGCACCGTGTTCCCCCTCGTCCTTTTCCTTCCTGCCCCTGGTTCTCTTCTCCCTTCCCGCCCAAGCGGCCTATCACGCAGCCGGCATAGCAGTCAGCTCTCCCTTTTGTTGTTTTGGCTGCTGCTAGCCCAGCCCTCAGGGTCTCACCTCTATCTACCCCAAGCAGCTCATGAAAGTATTTTCCTGGACAAAGGCAGTTCCCCCTAAGAGGCATTCTGGCACCAGCTGTCAAGATAATAATTCTTTCCAACCTGCTACATGAGTCTAATCCAAGATAGGAAGAGCTCCGAGCCCAAAGGGACATGAGGATAAAATGTTGAGGGGGTTTGAGTTCTGGGAAGGAAGACAGCACTTCTTGCTTGAATGCCTGTCTGTGCCAGCGCCCAGCCAGGTGCTGGCAAGGGGAGATTAGAGCTCTGTCTTGAAGTCTGAGGACTGCTGAAATGTGTAGATGTGGGCAGGGGGCATTCTGGGTAGAGGATGTCCTTTCAGCAAAGGCCTGTGGGTGTCACTGGAGTGGGGAGGGCGGTAGGAGCCGTGCTTGCTGGAGGAGAGGGGCAGCTGGTTCATCCACTGGGTGCTTCTCAGTGCCACTGCTCAGCCCCAGCCTCCTTCCTGTGGCCTGGCTGTGAGGGATGGGTCTCCTACTCTGCAAAGCACTATTTTCAGGGCACAGTGACCCCCCAAATCGGGGTCACAATGAAGGGTCAGGCTTCCTCATGGTATTAGGTGTCTATTGCTGTTGATAGATGGCCCCAAACTTAGCAACTGAAAACATCAGGCAGGTGTTATGTCATCGTCTCTGTGGTTTGGGTCAGGGGTGCCCCTTAGCGAGGAATCACTTGACACAGGGTCTCTCCCATCGCTGCAGGTAGGTGTCCCTGGGAGGCTGTTTGCCGGGTGGCACACAGTTCCTTATGGGCTTTTCCCGAGACTACTAGATGCTTTTTCACTCAGTGAGAGAGAGCAGGAGGGTGCTCAAGACCGAAGCCACAGTCCGTTGTCACCTACTTTGGAAGTGACACCTTGTCACTTTTGTCCTATTGTGTTCATTAGACAGTAGCGACCCTGCCTGGCCCTCACTTGAGAGAATGACTGCCAGGAGGGTCATCCAGAACCATGTCAGTTGCCTGCTACTACTGCCTGATCACCATCCTCCACTTCCGTGTCCACTGGGCCACTGTCTTTCAAACAGCCCTTGGCCATTCCACCTGCTCCTGCACCAGCCACACCCTGGACACCCTGTTCCTCACCTCTGGAAATGTGGCTCTGAAATCCCCCCTTTGACCTTGGCTTCGCTGGCCTGTAGTCAACATCAGACCCTCCTCACTCGCTCTGTGACACCCTAATAACAACTCCGACAGCATCTCCCAGGCTCTCCACCCCCTGACCCCACACCCATCTCTACCCAGGCACCACAGAGCCTCTGGGCAGCCCCTCCGACCCCTCCAGTCCCTCTGGCTTCCCCCTTGCCTCTCCTCTTGCTCACCAGTACTGCCCTCACTCACTGCCCTCACTCGAGACAGGCATAATCCCCACCTTGCAGGTTCCCAGAACCCATCGCCTCTGCCCCACCCTGGGGTCTACATGCAGAGGTGTGTCTTTGTAATCTCAATGCAGCCTGCTCGGCACTTCCCCCACTCTCTGGAGTTACACCAGCCCCCCCTCTGCGAGGCTCCTCTTCCCATCTCCCCACCCAGCCCACAGGCACCTGGTTCCTTCCCCCATGCAGGCCGGGGCCCCGCCCTACTGCTCCTGGCTGGCTCCACCACCAGGAGCCGGCAAACTCTTGGCCTAGCTTCCAGAGCCATCCGCGCCCCAACTGGCTTCTGGGGTTCCTCCTGGCCTCCAGCTCCCGTCTTGCCTCTCCCCTGCGTTAGTCTGGTTTCTCGCTGTGGGATGGCTTACTGCTTCCTGGGCCCAGCACACGCTTCTCAGCACCATCCCCCACCTCTCCGTCTACCAATCCATGCAGTGGCGCCTCTTCTGAGACTCTTTCCTCCTTGGCTTTACAAAGAAAGGATTGTGCTTCTGCCGAGCTCTGCTCATTTCTCTTTCCTTTTTCATTCTAGAGTTAAGATTTTTGTCTCCCCCAACAGTCTGTACACTCCTCCAGGGCAGGAGTCCTGGCTCATTCATCACTGTCTCCCAGTACTCACATCAGCCTGGCACATATGTTGGAAGCATGGATGGCTGGGTGGGTGGGTGGCTGGGTGGGTGGTAGGTGCATGGGAGGATGAGTGGATGGATTGCGCTGAGAGCCCCGGGCTCTCTGGGCTCCTTAGCAGGGAAAACGGTTCAAAGCGAGGCTTTTAGAAGCAGGTTCATGCTCTATTAACTGTGTAACTTTGGGCAGATTATACAGTTCTCCTTGGCCTCAGTTTCTTCATTTACAAAATGGGACAATAACACCTCACAGGTTTGCCATGAGGATGAAACAGGAACATTTAGTTAAGGCAGTGTCTTGAGTGGAGTAGGTGTGCATTAAATATTCGTTCTCACTGTCACTACTGTCGCTGGTAAGGACTGGAGCCAGAGAGCTACATTCGCCCTGCCCCTGCCCATCTCAAAGGCAGGCTGAGTTCTGCCGAGCTACCCTGCTCATGGGAGGGAGGCTGCGGGGGTGGAGGTTTCCTGCCCTTCCAGAGGCAGTATCTGCAGGTGTTGCTGTGGTTGGTGCGGTGCCTGGGCACCCCTGCTGATGGGAGGCAGGGCTAGCAGAGGGGGCTGTGGGGATCGCGCTGTGGGGGGACAGGAGCCTGTCGTAGGGCTTACCCACAAGCCTGGTCCTCTGTCTGCCTCAACCTCATGGTTTTCCTCCCAGCTGCCTCGGGGTCCAGAGACCAGAGCCCCGCCGTGGTTGTCACCGTGGTGACCATCTCAGCCCTCCTCGTCCTGGGCTCCGTGATGAGCGTGCTGGCCATTTGGAGGAGGTAGGTGGCTGTCCCAGCATGACCGACCCCTGCGTCCCTAACCCGCGGCCCTGGGGATCTGCAGGGGCGCACGTGCGGATTCGCGCATGCGCACACACCGCTGGGTAGAAAGGCTGCTCCGGCCCGTCCCTCCCCCACTCGCTGCTCCTGCAGCTAGCTCAGCGCTCAGGGATGAAGGGGATTTAGCTCCTTAACTCATTAAATGTCGGAAGGCATCACTAAGGATGGAATCAAGCTCCGGCTGCACCGGTGTGATTAGGATTCTCCTGGGGTGCTCAGAGGCCCAAGCCCCTGCCCCCGAGGGATCTGGGGGCCCTAGAACACAGGCAAAGAGAAGAAAGGCAGAAATTGTTGGTGTCTGTGTGTGGGAGCCGAGGACAGGGAGGCAAACCCAGAAAGCTGGAATCCCCCACCTCCCAGCTAAAAAGCTTGCAGGAGAGTTGGGGGGGGGGTTGGGGAAGGTAATGGGAGGGTGGGAGGAGGGGAAGTTGCGGAGCTTGAGTGGCTCAGAGAAGATCGGAGCCCCAGGGCACAGTGGGGGCCTCATGGCAGGTGTCTCCCCCTTCCCTGGGCCACACTGGTGGAGGCACCTGCATGCCTGTGGCTACTTCCAGGTGGGGGATGGGAAGCATGCTTGGGGTGGAACACTGTCAGCATCCCAGAACTGCCTGTGGATTGCAGGACAGCGAGCATTCATTGGCGCTGCCTGCGTGTCTGGCCTTGAAGGAGGCCCTAGAATTGAGTGGGGAGGAGGGGGCCTTGTCCTGAGGGTCCAGGGCTGGGGCAGCGCTGCCTGTGCACGAGGAGGCAGGACAAGAGTAGCAGTAACTTCCTCACGGGGCTTCAGAGTTCATCAGCGGGGCTCAGCCGTGGCAGGAGCCAAGAGCATCTTGTCCTAGCTGTGAGCATCGGGGCTCCTGGAGGCAGAGGAAGGTACAAGAGGAGGTAAGCAAGGAACACCCCTCTGGCAGACTCCGGAGGACAAGAGCCACTGCTGAGGAGGGCCTGAGAGGAATGCACAGGGTGGGCATTTCAGAGCCTGCGAAAGTCACCTGCATGGCACTGGGGACATATCCAACTGGCGCCCTTGGGCAGACACCTCCCCCAGCCTGACTGGCCGGACTCTGCAGTCTGGGAACATGGCTCACACTGTCCCCCCCCTCTCAGAATCACTGACCTGCCCTACACAGTCTCTAACCTCTAGCTTCACTCCCCCTGCAGCCCCCCCTCCTGGAGTACCCCACTTCTCACTAGAAGGTGTCAGTCAGCGGGGGCCTTGGCTTCTCGTTTCCTTTAAGCATGCGTCTCTGCCGCTCTGTCCACTCAGCCTTGTCCTCTCATTTCTCGCCTTTCCTGGAGGTCCTGTTGTCCCCTGTCTTCTGTAGCCATTGGATGACACCCCTTGGTGCCTCAGTTCTTTGACTTCCTCATCCCCAAAGCCCTCCTCCATGTTGTCACACAGACCTGCCTCCGTCCCAGATACTCTTGCCCTGCAGACCCCGCCTGAAGCTTACTCCCTCAGCCATGTGTGGTCCCTGCTCCATAACTTCATCTCGACCCCTCCGCACCAGCCACTCCCACTTTCTGGTCTCTAGGAGGCGCTTGCCCAGCCAGGAGCAGCCTTCACTGACCGGAGCCCCATTCCTTGCTAGCCTCCAGGGACCATTACTATTTTAAATGGCTCCTCACCCCCACATAATAGCTCATCTTTATCCAGTGCTTGGCAACTGTGCTGTCAAGTGGGGGCTGTCTTTAGCTCATTTTTTTCATTTTTAAAGATCTATTTATTTGTGCATACAAGAGCTGAGGTGTAGGCCACAGGTGCAGGGAGGTGAGAGGATTTACCAGAGACAGAGTGGGGAGCAGAACAGGCTGACTGAAAAGTACACTGCTGAGGGGAGCAGCGGGCGGGTCAGGAGAGGTCTGCCGTGCCATGTGTGTCACCTCCCTGGCTGGGGATCAAACTCAGGCTGCAGTGGCTGCTGATAGCTTCATAGTGTTGCGCTTTAACCCCTGTGCAACCAGGGAGGGCCCTACCCCAACTTTACTAAAGAGAAAACCAGACTACCGGGTCCCAATGCTGCCGAGTGAGGCGGTGGGCAGCCAGTCAGACAGGCTCCCAAGCCCGCTGGTAACCACCCATTGTGACCACTTCCATGCAGGCCCCTCCCCTTTCCCTGGTCCTATGCAACCAGTGGCCTGCCAGTGCCCCTAATCCCAGTCCTGCCTCCTCCTGTGCCTGGCTCCCCTGCTCCCCTCCTTACCCCGAGTCTCAGTGTTGGGGGGTTTCAGACTTGTTCCCGGTCCCCTTTCTCAGGCCCTACCCTCTCTCTGGGCCATGCTTAGGGCTCCAGGTTTGTATACTCAGAGCAGACCTCTCTCCAATCCTGACACACACATACCTCACACCCGAGGCACTGACCCTCCTTGCCTGTCCCTTCCCTGGGGCACACTGCCTTCTTTTGGGAAGACTAAGATGTCCAGACACGGACTCTCCTCACCCCATCTCGGTGGATCACACCACCATAAGTTGGGCAGTCCCAACCTTGTGAATCATTCCTGCCTCTCCCCCTTCCTTCTAGCACCCTGCAAGACCATGGCCCTGTCTCCTGAACATCCCTGCTGTCCTCTCACTTACCACTGTGTCCACGGCCACCCATGGCCTGAGCCGCCACTGTCTCCTGTGGGGGTGCAGCAGCAGTCATCCCTGCCTCCCCAGTCTGTGACTTTGTGGACTTGATGTGGTCCCTCGATCCATGGGGGCTCTAGCTCAGGGAGCCCCTGTTGAGGGCCTGGGCTAGTCGGATTGATCAGTTATGTGTTCCCACGGCACCCCCTTCACCTCTGTAGTTAGTTCATTCTCAGTGGTCGGGTGGGAAGCTGTCCCCGAGTGTGAGGTCACCTGTCGCATTCGCCTGCGGGGGACGGGGAAGTTATGGCTGAGAGTCAGGGTGTGGACTTGGGAGCCTGTGGGCTTGGGAGGCTGTTTGTGGACATAACTGCTGGGCAGGCATTAGACCGGGATGGCTGGGGTCCTATGTGTGCTGTGGGGAGCAGCTTTCAAACCTGCAGGAAAGAAGGTCTGTCCCTGGGGCACAACTCCTTCTAAGAGGTGCCTCCTTGGGTGCTGCTGGGCTTAAAGAACCACTCTGCACACCCCTAGGCCCTGCAGCTACGGCAAAGGAGGTCGGGATGCCCATGACGAGGAGGAGCTGTATTTCCACTGTGAGTTGACTGGGCCGGGGCTGGGGGGCAAGAGCTCACTTCTCAGCCCTCTTCCTGCTGCTAGTATATAACCCCCACTCCACCTGTCATGACGGCCTCCTGCCTCAGGCCCTCCCCTTCTCTCTCTGCCCTCCCAGTCAAAGTCCCCACACGCCGCACGTTCTTGGACCCGCAGAGCTGTGGAGATCCGCTGCAGGCTCTCCATCTGTTTGCCAAAGAGCTGGATGCAAAGAGCGTCACGCTGGAGAAGAGCCTTGGAGCAGGCAAGCAGGGACTCTGGAGTCTGGTCCCTGGGAAGCCCTCCCCCCACCTGGAAGTCCCCCCGCACCCCATTCCTCCCTGCCCAGGAAGCCCCTCCTGCACGTGGAGCCATCTGTGACCCTGCCTTCCTGCCCTCTCCCTGCCCTCTCCAAGGCCACAGAGATGGCTCCAGTCAGGCCCTTTCAGAGCTGCCTCTCAGACGCCAAGGCCCTTCAGTCCCAGGCTTCAGCTGGGGGCCCACACACCTGGTCCCAGTCCTGGCTCCACCACCGCTGTGTGCTGAGGGCCATCTCCCGGTCTTCTGCTCTGAGTCTCAGTCTCTGTGTACAGACACAGTATCCACCTCAGGTGAAGCTGATGTGGGGACTGGGCAGTACTCAGCCACACCTGGAGGTCAGCGCGCTAAGGCTGCCCATGAATCAGCTGGCTGCCTCTCTTCCTGTCTCTGAGCCCTGGCCCCTGCACGCAGAGAAGGCAGCCACATTCACCAGGAGCCGGGGGCTGTTCAGATGCGGGAGAGAAGCCCGGCAGGGCAATGAGGCAGGGCAGGTGTCGTCTTCTTGGGCCACACTTGGCTCCAGGAGCCTCTGGTGCCCAGGCAATGTGCAGTGCACTCTCTCCGGGGCATTGGACCCTCCTGCTGAGGCAGACAGGGAGGGGGGACGGTCCCCACTTCACAGAGAAGAAAGTTGGGCCAAGAGAAGGAAAGAGAGATAAAGCCCTCATCTCGCTGCAGATGCTCACCTTCCCAGGACTTGAGCAGGCCTGCTGAGTCCCTGCCCAGAGAAGGCCCCTGGCCCAGGGTTGCTTTTCCCTCTGCTCAGCTGTCCAACTTGTCTGGAAGGTGACCTTGGGAAGGGGGCAAGGGTGTTGAGGTGCAGCTGTTTCCTCACAGGCCGCTTTGGGGAGCTGTGCTGTGGCTGCCTGCAGCTCCCCGGGCGCCAGGAGCTCCCAGTGGCCGTGCACACTCTGAGGGAGGGCTGCTCGGACGCCCAGAGGCTCAGCTTCCTAGCCGAGGCCCTCACTCTGGGCCAGTTCGACCATAGCCATGTCCTGCGACTGGAGGGTGTCGTCACCCGAGGTAGGGCCCAGCACCCATGAGTGAGGGGTTGTGGGGAAAGGCTGCTCCTGTGTGCCCCGGTCCTTCCCCCAGCTGTCCCACATGGGAAGGAGGCCTCAGGGTGACCCCTGATCTGGACATGACCTGTCTGACTTGTGGTGACTCTGCTGGACCTTAGCACGCTCTTCGCAGCTCCTGACCTTGCCCTTGTCCCCTCCAGAGGGCGCCGCTTTTGGGTTTCCACAAAGCTGCCTGAGCTTGAGGGTGGCAAGATTAGGGGGGCTTGACCTCGGTTCTGGACAACTTGGCCTAGCCTGGGGCCCTGATAGGGGGGAGCCTGAGGGCTGCAGGCAACTTAATGCCCACGCCTTCTCTCTGAGCAAAGGAAGCAACCTGATGATTGTCACCGAGTACATGAGCCTTGGCGCCCTGGACGGCTTTCTCAGGGTGAGTGGCCTGGCCCTGGGGCAGCTATGACCGCACTACTCTTGGCCCTTCATTTTTGGGTTTGGTGGGGCTTGGGATTGGCTTCATTCTCGAAAGAGCGGCACTCTGGTGGCTCACAGGGCAAACTGAAGCCCAGAGAGGGCCAGTGACTTCCCTGGGCCACAGCGCCGGGGCCTGAGTAGGCAGCTTGGCCTTGGTCTCCTCCCACAGCGGCACGAGGGACAGCTGGTAGCGGGGCAGCTGATGGGGCTGCTGCCTGGGCTGGCCTCAGCCATGAAGTACCTGTCAGAGATGGGCTACGTGCACCGTGGCCTGGCGGCCCGCCGGGTCCTAGTTAGCAGCGACCTCGTGTGCAAAATCTCCGGCTTTGGGCGGGGACCCCGGGACCGAGCAGAGGCTGTCTACACCACCATGGTGAGGATGCCAGTCTCCCGGGCCAGCCCTCCTGCTCTGCTCTCGCCCATTAAACGGCGCCCAAATCCCACGGTCCCAGTCCTGCCTCTTGCCTGCTGCAGCAGGGTCATTTCCTGGCCCTGGCCCTGGCCCTGGCCCTGCTCCCACTGGGTCCTGAGTAGTGCCAGTTGAGGGTGCTGCCTGCATGCCTTCTCCAGACGTGCGTCCAGGAGGATGCTGGCGGGGCCGGGGCGGGGCTTGCGGGGAGAAGCCCCGGATGTGTCTCGGTCCCTTGCTGCCTCTGACCTGCCTGCCTGCCCTCAGAGTGGCCGGAGCCCGGCACTGTGGGCCGCCCCTGAGACGCTCCAGTTTGGCCACTTCAGCTCTGCCAGTGATGTGTGGAGCTTCGGTGTCGTCATGTGGGAGGTGATGGCCTTTGGGGAGCGGCCCTACTGGGACATGTCTGGCCAAGACGTGAGTGACCTGCGGCTCCAGTTCTTTGCCTTCTAATCCTTTTCCCCTCTGACCTCAGACCCCAGCTGTCTGACCCCTGACCTCCTAGCCTCAGGCCCCTCTTTATTCTTTATTCACTTCTGGTCCTGCCTGGCCATCATCTGAGTCTTCTTTGGGAGGGGATGTGTGTTTGGGTGTGACCTAAAGCCACCTGTCTGCCTCCCCCACCCCCACGGTCCAGGTGATCAAGGCCGTGGAGGATGGCTTCCGGCTGCCGCCCCCCAGGAACTGCCCCTCCCCCCTGCACCGGCTGATGCTTGACTGCTGGCAGAAGGATCCAGGTGAGCGGCCCAGATTCTCCCAGATCCACAGCATCCTGAGCAAGATGATGCAGGACCCAGAACCCCCGAAGTGTACCACGACCACCTGCCCCAGGTACAGCTGATAACTCACTGGTATATTCCCATCTATCCCCACCAGACCAGACACAGCCAACCTCTCACCTGCCCATGAATGATCTCCCCGACCCCACCTGTCCAAGTATGACTGCTTACCCAGTTGCCCTAGATAAGTCTAATACTCCCACCTGCCCCAGGCACCTGTAGCCTTTCAACCGTCTTAGTTACTTTTACTTGTCCTGGATTTTGCTTCACATACGCCAGGTACAGTGACCACTGTATGTGGGAATAGCTGTCCCAAATGCAGGTCTCCTCCCAAACTCTCCTGGGTATGTCCTGTCCCAGATACTCCCAGTGCTTTCGCTGGCTCAGATGCCCCCCGCTTGCCACCTGCCTATGTCGGAACCCTCACCAATTCTGAGAACGCCTGGCCCCCTGAGTGACCAGGTCAGCGCTGGTCACTGGGGCTCTGTCGCCCTCCACCTCCCCTGTCCCTTTGCCACGGGCCTCTTCTCAGCAGCATGACCAGGTCGGGCAGCACATCTGTGCTGTGGGTTGAGCACAGTTCCTCTGACGCCAGGCCTCCCACCCCGCTGGCGGACCGTGCCTTGTCCACCTTCCCGTCCTTTGGCTCCGTGGGCGCGTGGCTGGAGGCCCTGGACCTGTGCCGCTATAAGGACAGCTTCGCCGCAGCTGGCTACGGGAGCCTGGAGGCCGTGGCTGCCATGACTGCTCAGTGAGTCTGCAGAGCCAGCGACCCTGCCCCAGCCTGCGTGGCGGGCTCCGGGCGGCCCTGACTCCAGGCCCTCCCCAGGCCAGGCGAGATGCTTGAGCCCCCTGGGTCTGACCAGCCCTTCTTCTCAGGGACCTGGTGAGCCTGGGCATCTCCTCGGCGGACCATCAGGAGGCCCTCCTCAGCGGGATCAGCACCCTGCGGGCACGCGTCCTCCAGCTGCAGGGCCAGGGGGTCCAGGTGTGAGGGCTGCATGCTTCCGGCCTAGAGCCCAGTGGGACTCCAAGCTCAGCCCTGCCACGGATCCTGGCAAGCAGCACGCCCCCATGTACAGGCGAGCACCATCTTTTTCCACTTGGGCCCAGAGCTTGTTTGGGGCCACAGTCACCACCACCGCCCCCCTCACCATTTCATTGCCTCCCAGCCCCATTTGCCCAGTGTGAACACCTTGGCGGACACAGTCCTCCTGGAAAACTGGTTCAAGTCCCAGGGAGCATGCCTGAGGTAACAGCCAGAGGAAATGCAGGGTCTCTGAGTCAGGGTCTGGGCGGGGACGGCAGGTGTAGCTTTAAATTACCCAGTTCATGCTCTCTGTCTTCCACATCCACTGTGGTCTGGGGCCTCCTCCACTGACCCACTGCCAGGAGGCCACACAGGTCCCTGCTGGCTCCCATCCAACCTGGTAGTGCCCACAGTTATCCTGCTGGGCCCTGGAGGGGCAGGGTCCTTGGCTACCTGTGCTGGATCAGGCTCTGTCTCGACATTGGTCCACGGTCCAGGCAGCAAAGGTGGTGATGAGCTCGGGGTTGGACCCTAAGGGCCCTAGGTTCAGGAGCTGATTTCTGCTGCCCCTGCCCTTGGGCTGACAGTTCAGGTGAGCACGAGGATCCTGGCCGGACTGCTCCATGTCCTGGGGCTCCCCTGAGGCCCCTCGACCTCACCTTAGTATCCCTTTTATAAACTCCCTGGCTGGAGCGCCGGGAAGAACATGAGGGGATGGTGGCTGTGCTTTTCCAGACCGGGAGCCCAGTTTTATCCTAGGGCTCCAAGAACTTTGCTATCCAGCCGTGGGGCATGGCTGGGTCATGGGATGGATCTTCTCTCCCCAACATGCTGATCCAGCCCTCACCATAGCACGGTAAAGGCCCAGGCCCAGGGATCCGTCAGCGTCAAGGCTGGGGCTGGAGCCCCGTCCAGAGATGAGGCTGGCTCTGAAGAGTCTTGGTCCTGCCCTGTAACACCAACACTCGTCCCTGAGGCTGCCCAGGGGACTAGAGGAGGCTTCCTCCTGCAAGCTCCCTCCCTGGGACACCACTCAGCCTCCCGTGGTGGCCTGTTCCCACTCCGCTTCTGTGGCGCTCCGGCAGAAGTGGTCTCCCTGAGCTGACTGGAGAGTTTCTCCTCCAAAAGGGCTTCCTAGAAGTGGTGGTGACCAACTGAGGCTGGGATCTCGAGGGACAGCAGCAGGACGGCAGCGGCAGCTGGATCTGCATAGGGCCGTGGGCCGCGCTGGCTCAGGTCACCCCGAAGCAGGCCTGTGCTGGGTGGCTGTGTGGGGGTGGGGTGGGAAGGAGAAGCCTAGGGGTGGAGGGTAGGGGTGAGAGCCTCACCGTGCTGGCCCTCGGAGGGTTCAGACGGGTGGGGAGATGGACTCAGGCAAACAGTACCCAGGCCCCCTGGAAGACCCGGGGGTCAGTGGGCTGGAGGGCAGATGGGTGCTATCTTGAGCGTGGAGGTGGAGTGGCACCTGTAAGTTAAACAGGGCTTTGTGGGTGTGGGAGGGTTCTTTGGTTAGTCGCAGAAGGAGCCTGGGCCTGGGAGAGCCCAGAGTGGGGTGCGGCGCCCCATAGCAGTGCCTTGGCCTTGCCCTGCCAGTAGTTGTCCTTCTCAGAGTCTCCCACTTCCCACACCCCATCCCCTGAGCACCTGCCCCAGCTCAGTGACCTTGGAGTTGCAGGAGACAAGACTCCTGCCACTCCTAAGGGGGCTGGAGGGTCCCCTGCAGGCTTTCCCCACACCCACACCCCCCAGAAGCCTGGAAAGGACCCAGTGTGGGGATCAGCATCCTGTCTTGGGTAGAGAGGCTCCGCTCCCATCTCCAGCAGCATCAGAACATCGGTCATGCTCTAAAGGTCCGAGTCACCGCCTCCTCCCCCAGCTGTGCTGCAGAGGGCCCCTTGCTGTTGGCAGGACCTCGGTGTCCAGGGTAGATCTCCCTTCCCCTGAGGAGTGAGGTCCAGAATCCTGATGGGTACCAGGCCTCCCTGCCACAGGCGTGGCGTGATGTGGGGTGAGGCACTCTGGGAGCCCTCTATAGATCTATTTTTATATGGAACTTGTTCACTGGACAAAGGGAGGTGGCCTGTAACCCCTCAGAACCCCATTCTGAGCCCATCTAAGGAGGGGCTGGAGAGGTGTTTCCTTTGACTAATTCTGGACATGTTTTTTATATTTCTTGGGTTCTATATGCAGGAAAAGGAATAAAAATTTGTCTGTGATTCGTGCCTCTGACTGACAATTAAGTCGCTGGTGTGAGAGGTTTCTGACACCTTCATCCCCAGGAGGCCTCCACAGAGGTGTGTGCTCTCTCTCTGTGCCGACAGGAGTCACACAGCCCTGCTGCCAGAGGCCTGGTCCAGCAAAGGGCACACTAGAAAACGTGATGAGATGGTATGGTCAGGGCTGCCACAGGTTGAGCACGGGGCGGCCTGGGGGTACGGAGGATGCCACCCAGTCTTGGGCTGTAAGTACATGGAGAGGAGGAGTAGGGATGTGGGGTGATGTGGGCATGCATTTAGGCTCTCGTGGGACCTGCAGGCAGGGATGTTGCGGTCACAGGTGATATCAGGTCCGGAGCTTCGCGCAGGTGCAGGTTAGGGACCGAGCTTTGGGGGTAAGGACAATAGCGGTTTTAGCCCCTGTGAGGAGGTTGCTCAGCCAGCACATGGAGAGGGGAGCTCTGGGGAAACTGACTTTGGGAGGCTACTGGATTGAGAGGAGCAGGAGAACCAGAGGGGAGACTTGACGAGAGACAGCAGGGAGTTGGGCCATGGAAGCAGGAAGAAGGGTGAGTTTTGGCACTTAGTGCAGAGGCCATGACAAAGCCCCACACACTGGGGGGCCCAACAGGAATCCAGGTGCCCCAATTCTGGAGGCTGGAAGTCAGAGATCAAGGTGCCAGCACTCCAGCGTCTGCTTTGGCTTGTGGATAGCCATCTTCTCCTGTGTCCCTTCACACCGCCTCCCCACGATGTATCTCGGTGTCCAGATTCCCCTTTCTAGAAGACCAACTAGAAGGGACTGGTCTACTCTGGCCTTATTTGAACTTGAGCACCTCTGTAAAGTGCCTTGCTCCAAACAGTCACATTCTGTTTGGTGCAAGGGTGTTTGGGGCGCAGGGGTGGGGAGTGGGGGTGGGGTTCAGACTGCATCATCTGAATTTGAGGAAGAACACAATTCAACCTGTAGCAGTGGCCTGGGGGGGGGGTTTCAGAAGCCACATGACAGGTCTAAGGCACAGAGTCCAGGAATCTTTCGAAGGGCACTGCAAAGGGAGCAGGGTGGGGCTGAGTACAGAGCTGGGGTGTGGGCGGGGTGCTGGAGCACCGAGTGCTCACACTGCACACCCATTCCTCCCCAGCACACGCCTCACATGCACACGCTCGTCTCAGGGAGCCCTTTTCGTGCTGCTGCTGGCCCCGGAGGGGCTGTTTGGGACCACAGCCTGGTGAAGGTGTCTTACTGATCTGCTCAGTCCCAGCACTGGGAAGCACTTAGTGCAGGGGACTGGGTGTCGGGGTAGTAAATAGCACCTCTTTCCTCCCCTCCTGTGCATAGAATCGAGTGAGTCCTAATTCACTAGCACAGATGGAGATCAAGATACCAGCTCTCAGATGGGTAAAGCTGAGTGGAGGATGTTGCTTACCCTGTTTCTTCACATCTAACATGCCACGAATGTAAGACATTCCTTGTGGAAACATCACAGCCCATCAAACCATGTCTCACCATCTGGTGGGAAGATGGAGCCCAGTTTCAGAGATGTCAAATGTGCAAAATGTATATCTTCCACAAATGAGATGTGGTGTGTTAGGGGCACTGTGCATTTCTCATTACTTCCCTGAATTTGGCCCATCCGGTGTCAGGCTGGGCTGGATAGCCACAGGTCTCTCCTGCAGGGACAGGGCTGCACACCAGGTTCCCGTGTGTGTGTGTGTGTGTTTAACAGCCAGCGTGTACCCGTTTTGGAAGGGCAGAATTGGAGAAGCCAGAAGGCACAGGTTATTCCTTCTACCCACTGATTGTTAGTCAAGTCCCTGCTTCCCAGTGGGGAGGGTGAATGAGGAGCGGGTTGGGGAGATCCGGAATGGTGCCTGGTAATGTCTTCCCTAGTAGAGGCAAGCAGCAGGTGGTGGAGGGTCCCCTGGGACACTTAGCCTGGCATAGAGTAAATGTTACCAGCCAGGGGAGAGGCTCCAGGTAGATGTGCGATAATATTTGGCTGTAATTTCCCGGGCTGCAAAGCTGCTGATCAGGTCTCACAAGGTATCTGCTGTTCCACAGACTGCAATGCCAGCAGCTACTGAGCAGCTACTAGGTGACCCCCCGGGGGAGTTAAGTCCTCATTGCCTGGGAGGGGGAGGGCATTACATAAAAATCACTAAGGACATAGCAGTAGGGGTCCATCCTGGGTGTGGTGTGAGCCTGGCAACTTCTGGCTGGCCTTCTCCCTGTTGGAGGCGTGAGAAGGTGCCCGAGGGAAGCCAGCTCACTGCTTTTATTAACTGGTGGCTGAGTTTGAGGATCCCCTTCTAACATCTGTCCTTCACACTGCTAGGACTTGAGAAAAACTCCTTTTCTGGGGCCAGCTCGCTTTAATCTGATTTCTACCCTTTTCCAGTTAAATTCAAGCATCTGCTATTATCTTGAGAACCCCCTGCTAATGTCCTCTGGACCTGTCCTACCCCATTTTATTAGCTGGCCCCCTGGGCCTTGGTGACAGAAGTCAGATACTCAGTCTACCCGTGACCTCAGGTTCCTACCAGCATCTAGCTTGTGAATGTCTCAAGCCTCACCCCAAGGCTGTGTGTGTACGTTTTAGAGAAATTGTACCCCCATTGCAAAAGCCTTCCATCTGCTCCCAGTTAGCTCCCAGTTAGACCCCATCTAGCTCCTTCCTTTGCCCATGCCACACATCCTGGCCATCAACTGGACACTGATAGGAGAGACCTTGAGACCCACCAGCAGCCACTGTGCCCCCAAAGTGAAGACACACATGAGACAAACAGCCATGTGTGTCATGCCGTGTATCCGGCATGATGTGTGCGTGGCTTGGGGCACTGGAAGCTGCAGATGAGGCAGGGCGCAACCTGGCATCTGCAGCACAGGCGTCTCTCAAAAATGCCATCTACAGCAACGCCAGTATCCACCGAGGGACGGATGAAGACACTGCAGAAGGCAGGCAGCACGCAGTACAGCTGGTGTGTGCGGGCAGGGAAGAGAAGGGACTTGTTTAATAGGTAAGTGACACAGGTGGAGAGGAGAGGGCTGGGGAGGTGATTAACACTGAAAAGGGAGAAGGCACCCTGGTGGCAGCACAGGGGATTCCAAACTCCACTAAGGGGTGCGCTTTGCCCAACCCCGCTCCTCAGTGTCTCTCATGCCTGCCTGTTCTAAGGCCATATGAACGAGGACTTTGAAATTTTCAGCACTTGCTGTCATTTGAGATTTAGGTAGAGATCAACAACGGTCATTTTGTAAAATCAGCTAAGATTCACTGAGCAGAACTTGTGCACATGCACATGTGGAGACCTGCTTCTTCTGCAGGGGTGGGGCGCAGTGTGGTCAGCCCTGCACAGTATGCGGGCCAGCGCGATGGGTGGGCAGGGGTGTGTTGTCCTATGCCGTGAATAGCTACCCCGTGAATAGCCGCTTAGGTGATCGTCCCCCCACCACCACTGTGAGCCCTTGGGCAAAGTACCCATCTGTGTGTCTTAGCTGTCATCTATAAAAAACATGAGCAGTATGAATAATGAACGCTGTATCTACAGGGGTAAAATTAGTTCCTATATGTGAAACACTTGGCAAAACCCCAATCTTGCACAGGAAGAACTCCAAAAGTGTGCAGGAGACCATTATTCTATTTCTTTGTGGTTTTTATGATTTTCACTAGCTAATCGTGTGTGAATTTTTGAAACAGTCCTTCTTTACTAACTTGTTAAGTTCCCGAAGGGAGACCCCGTGTTTCTTTGATTCCTCAGTACCTCTTCATTATGTAACACTGTGACTGACACATGCCCAGTGAATATTTGTAAACAGATGGATTTGCAAACAAGCAGATTAGCAAAGGTTTGAGTCAAATGATAATTAAATGCCTACGATGCATTTCTATCCAGGAAGGAAGCCACATACTAGATAACAGTAAGAAGTCAGAAAAAGGGTAACCAGGCCGAAAAAGACAGGGCCCAGGAACTAGGATGGGATTTTTCTGGCCAGGGACAGCCTTTGATTTGTCCATTTTTAATTGGCCATTTAATCAATTGCAGTTCTGCAGAAAGAGCTGGTTGCAATTATCCTTCTGCGGGCGCTCTGGTAACAAATCACGTTAGGCAATCAGTTATTAGTTTTCATATGCTTGGATAAAATATCAAAAACCAAAATATTTGGTGATACATGAAGTTTATATGAGTTTCACATTTCATTGTATCCATAAGCACATTTTATTGGAACACAGCCACACCCATTTATTAGTTTCAAGAGGTCTAATGGCAGCAGATTGACTGAAACACACTGCTGAGGGGAGCAGTGGTCAAGACAGGAGAGGCCTGCTGCGCCACGTGGGTCAGCTCCCTGGCGGGGGATGGAACTCGTGCTGCAGAGGCTGTGGATAGCTTCATAGTGCTGCGCTTTAACCTGCGGGGCCACCAGAGAGGGCCCAGGAGGCGGCTTTTTTGCTCCGTAAGGAGTTGGTCTTGGCTACCCCACAGATGCCATTCCCAGCCTGAACCATGGTGCGTGGCTGGAGGCTGTGGAGAGTGGGATGGAGCTTCAAGAGGTCAGTGGCAAAGATGGGGCAGGGGAGGCAAGGGGCCTGCGGGAGGCCAGGAGACAGCCAACTTATGGTGTCCCAGGAGGTTAGCAGGGTGTAGTCTAAGTGGAAGTTACCAGTTTTTATTTCCTGCCCTCGTGCCATTAGCATCTCTGGTCAACCCCTTTAGTCTTGTAAGGTGCCCGATGACAGAGATCTGGGGTAGGGTGTGGGCGTAAGTGAGTGGGCGCACCTGAGCAGGGAGACTGAGCACACACAGGTGGCAGGAAGGACCTCGCTGCAGAGTGCAGTAGAGACCAGCAAAGAGACCACGAGAGAAGCAGAGAGCCCAGATAAAGATTCGGCAGGGGCTAGGTGGCATGCCAGCCTCCAGGACCCCAGGCCTCCTGCCTGCTAGGCACTGGGCTGCCACACTACAAATGCTGTAGAAAGCGCTTTAAACGCGTGATGATGCCACTGCGGGTTCCAGGACTCCTTCTTTACGCATCTGCCAGGATCCATAGAGACCCTGCCCGGTGCCAGCTGGCACTACATAGGGGACCCTTGTCCTTTCTGGCTCGTGCACAGGGAGTCTCAAGGCTGGTCCCGAAATGCTGGCTCCAGATATAGCTTATAGACCCCAATGGGCTGTGCGACCGCCCCCAGCAAATTCAAGCTGCATCTAGCTAACCAATGACAGACTAGTCGCGGGCTGCAGAACCCCAGCACGCAATCACGAGGCAGCTTCCAGATCTGGCAGCCGGTCCACAGGCAGGACTACAACACCCAGGAGGCTTTGCGGCCCGACGACATACACTCGCGACCCGGTGGCCATGTTGGTGCTTGCGCGGGGAGATTGCGGTCGCGGTAGTGGCGGCCCTGGGGGATCCACGAAAGTTGGTTTTACGTTTTCCCGCGGGGTTAGGGAGCGCGACTGGCAGTCTCACAGGGAGAACACAAGGCTCCCGCTCCGGACGTCAGGGTCAGGTGCGCGGGAGACCGGGCTTGGGCCCCGGGCATCGGCAGTCTGAAGCTCCGAACGCGCCTTCCCCGTCAGGAAGCAGGGTCGCTGCCTTCTAAGTGCCTCGCTCCAGGTAAAACAACGCCTCGCGCGGGGAGCCTCTGTCGAAGCGGTAGACAGCCCCACCTGAGGAAACCCCGTTTTAACTGAACCCCTCCTGAGGCTGGAGTAACTCCCACCCTCACCTGGCACCTTTCTGCCGGCCTCGACCCTAACTCCGACGTTGTCTTCCAACAGAAGATGACTCAACACGCACCTCTGCTTGCGGTGCAGGAGGCCCTGAAGAAGTGCTTTCCCGTGGTGCAGGAGCAGCAGAGCTTGTGGCAGAGCACGCTGAAGGACTGCGGCCCCCTCCTGGGCTCCCTCAGCAACCTGGCCGAACAGCTGCAGGCCGCGCAGGCCCTGCGATGGGAGGACGTGCCGGCCCTCAGGGCCTTCCCAGACTTACGTGAGCGACTGACCCGCAAGCAGCTGGCCGCTGGTGATGCTGTCTTGGACCAGTTAGGGGAGAAGCTGTAAGAGGGTCAATGAACTCTTTTTTGGTGGAAAGATTTCAAAACGGGGCGTTTTGTGAGTAGCCGGGTAGTCTGAGGGCGCTCTTAAGCGTTCCTCGAAGGTGGCATTTGGAGGTCGCGCTTTCTTGCCTCCTGCCCCTTCGTTGCAGGCGGACTGCCCTAAACAAGCTATTATCTGGCAGGTCCCTTGTCAAGCTCCGCATGGTGGGCTACTTAGAAATTTCCAAAAGTAAAACGAAAGCTCATCACACCACCTCAGGTGTGTTCCAGCTCAGGGGTTCTATAGGTGCTCTGTAAGTCTTTCCAACACCTCTGTGACTTAGACTTCCTGAAGCCCGTTTTCCATATGAGGAAGCAAACTCAGAGAGATTGCCTGTGACCTTACAGCTAGTGAAGCTGGGGTTCCTGCCCCAGGGTGCCTGTGACCAAGGCCCAGAGCTCGTCCACACCACTTTGTCCTGCAGGCGTCTCTGCCCGTTCCCCTGATGTTCGTACCCTCTCCTTCAGAGTTGCGTAGAGAATAGACAGGGCACGTTTTGTTTTATTTTTTTGACAAAAGAGGTTAGTGTATGTTAGCTTATGCCATAAGCTAATAGGGAACTCAGAGATGGAGACCTACCTTGTATTTATTTGTACAGAATACACTTATTAAGCACCAGTGGTATGCCGAACACGGGTCCTGGGAATACAGCAATGAAACAGATTTGGTTCCTTAGTGTAGCAGAAGAAGTAGTCATTCACTGTAGGCTGTGGCGTAGCCTACAGGAATGCTCTTTTATTTCAGCTGATAAAATATTTATGTGTGGGTGTTGGACTGTCATCTTAAGTCTTGCTTTTTAACTGTGAATCTTAGACATTTTTAAAAGCCACAGTTCTAGGCAAGGGAATGCCTTGTCCTTTGGGCAGTTATAGCCTTGGTGGCTGGGCCCCTTGGAGTCATCAGTGGAATAATAGCAATGTTTACCATAAACAAGGCACTAAGCATTTCTTACAAAACAAATACTGGCCAATTTTATTGAAGAAAAATTATGTGTAATGTGCTTTTCACCTGTCTGTCCTGGCATGCTTCTAATGCCATCAGAATCACCCTGGTCTGATAGCCACTATGCAGCTCTGTGGTACTGTCCACACAGCATTGCGACTGGTGGGTGCCAGTTCTGGCCAGCATGGCTAGTGCTCTGTCTCAGATTTCCACAAGTGACTGGTTTCCTGTTGCCTTGTGTGGTCATTTTCAGACTCTGCTTGTACCCTGCCACGACTTGTCCATAATATGTTGGAACCTAAAGTTGACCGACTTTTTTCGTGTTTGTGGCTACCATCTTTCTACCTTTGTTGTGAGATGGCCCCCCCAGCCAAGAGCAGCCACCAAGATCTGGGCTTCAAGAAAACAAGGCTGCATTTTATATAACCATATAACCTCCTGCACATTTTTTTTTTTTTACATTTTATATGCATCATTGCATTTAATCTTCACTGTAACACCACTCAATGATTTATTTTTCATCAAAAAGTATGGTGTTCTGTGTGCCAGTGTTGATGTTCTAGGTACTTAGAATTTGCAGTGAGCAAAACAGACCTTTGTGCACAACTGAGAATAAGTAACTTCCGCAACCATCCTGGGCCAGGTAGGTTCATCAGCGTTTCAGGCAGCTTGAAAGAACCTTGGAGCCTTGGCATCGTCCCCACAGGCTAGGAGAGACAACGCAGCAGGCAGACAGCAACCTGGGCCTCCCTACAAGTCCTCAGATGCACCTTCCTCTCAGCCATCCTCTCATGCTGTCTACTGCTCTCACGATACTCCATGGCACGAGCCTCTGCCACCCTGCCCTTATTTGCGCCGTCTTCTGGGCCAGGTGCACCCACCCGCAATGCCCACATACACTCCATGTAACCACCCTAACGCGCATGTGTGTGACCACAGCTGTCGATCATTGATGCTAGTGGCTGGAGGGCAGAAAAACCTGGTCCCTGCAGCAAGTTTCCTAAGACCTGTTAGAGTCTGTGCATCCAGCGCCCAAACTTATTGTTTGAGAATTGACTTGCTCGGGGCTAGGTAGCCTGTGGGTGGTACTGGTTTGTGGCTTTAGTTTTCTCCTGCTAATCCCTTTCACATGTGTGGCAGAAGACTGTCTATTTGTTCGTTTATAGTTTCATGGCAACCCCAGAAAAGCCCCTGGCCTTTACTTCTTTGGCAACTAGGCCTATCACCATTTTGAGAACCTTGTGAATTCTCCAACCTCTCTATCATAAAATCATTTTGTAATTCTTGTGCTATCTCTATCTCCAAAGCACTGATCTCCTTAGACCAGTGGGTCTCATTTGGAAGCAGTTATTCTTCTTGGGACATTTGGCAGTCTCTGGAGACATTTTAATGATTTGAGGAGAGTGGGGCCGTGGTTTGCTCCTGTCATCTAGTGGGTGGAAACCAGGGTTGCTGCAAAGCATGTACAACCACAGGACAGCCTCATCCTGCACAAATTGTCCAGCCCAAGATGTCATTGTGCCGAGGTTGAGGTGCCCTGCTATAGGCCTTTCTCATGACACTGCTTAATGTCAGACTCTTTCCCCAGAGCTGTTCTCCTCAAGGTGCGAGACACAGTCAGCAGCCATGTGGAACGAGTCCTTCAGGTCTATCAGCAGCATGCGGACTCAATCGACATTAGTGACATCCTGAAGGCGTCATACATGAGCCCTTCTGTGGCGGACATGCTGGAATGGCTGCGAGACATCGAGAGACATTATCGAAATTCATATCCTTTGCATGCATCTCATAGACTGTCCATGGATAGTCTAGAAAGTCTAATTTTAGTTTTCACAAGACTATAAAACTAAATGGTATGGGTCAGTTCTCTTGGGTTTTGAATCTTGGGTTCTCCCTACCTTCCTTTGTATAGTCATTACTCAGACCGTTGCTTGTGTTGCAGTACCTGCCACGTGTCGTTCTAGGTGCTGAGAGGTAGATGCTAAAGAATGTGTAGGAGGTTAGATGGTGATAAGTGCTGTGGTGGAAACTGAAGTGAGGATGCACTCTGGCTAGGATTTAAAATGCAGTGGCCAGGGTTCAGGAAGTCCTATTTGGGAGAGACCTAAAGAGGGTGAAGGCAGAGAGCCATGTGTTACTTTTGGAGAGAGTGCCTGGCAGTGAGCCATCAAGTGCAAAGGTCCTGAGGTGCGAGGGTACCTGCTCTTTTCAGAAATCAGCAAGGACACCAGGATGGCTCCTGTAGAATTAGGAGCAGGAACCCAACAGGGAAATGAAGTCAGAGACAGCTAGACCTTGCAGGACCTTGAAGGTCTTTGAAAGGAGTTGACTTTTTTTTTTTTTTTAAGATTTATTTATTTATGCATACAGAACTGGGGTACAGGCCAGAGGCTCAGGGGCGGTGAGAGGCTTCACCAGAGACAGAGTGGGGAGCAGAACAGGCAGATCGACAAAGTACACTGCTGAGGGGAGCAGCGGGCGGGTCAGGAGAGGTCTGGCTCGCCATGTGGTCTCCTCCGGGGCAGGCGGGAATCGAACTCATGCGGAAGTGGCTTCAGATTCTCAGTGCTGTGCTTTAACCCGCTGCGCCACCAGGGAGGGCCTGAAAGGAGTTGACTTTTACTTGGAGATGGAAAGCTGCCGGAAGCCTTCTCTAACCCTTGCATTCAGTGCTTTAATTGTAGTCAGCCTCGATTATTACGCAGGTGGGATCGTAAACGTCATCTTGCCCCTTCGCCTCTGCTTTCTTTGTCCATTGCAGCAGTAGCAGTAGCTGCTGCTGACATTGCTGAGCACGCAATGCTAAAGCTGTTAAGCACCTGTGGAGTCCTTGAATCTGTTCACTGGTTCCGGTATTTTCATCCTTATGGTTTCTTTTTTTCTCACCTGAAAACTTAATTGCAGAATCCTCTTGATGGGTTGCTCTGTCTCTACTTCTTTATGGCCAAACCATTCCAGTTAGTGACCTCATTCTGTATACCAAAGAGATCTAGTCCGGTCCTGTTACTCGTACCGGAATTTTCTGTATCTTCTGTTACCAGGCACAGGAAGTGCAGAATCTCTGTGTCTTCTGTTACCAGGCACAGGAAGTGTAGAATCTCTGTATCTTCTGTTACTAGGCACAGGAAAGTACAGAATCTCGTGTCTTCTGTTACTAAGCACAAGGAAGTGCAGAATCTCTGTATCTTCTGTTACTAAGCACAAGGAAGTGCAGAATCTCTGTATAGTCTGTTACTAGGCACAAGGAGTGCAGTATCTCCACACGGTTTTCCTGACCTTACCGCTGTGGCTCAGCCTGCCTTCTCAACCGTCTTCCTGTGTTGCACACAGTTCCATGCCAGCCAGGCTTACTGAGTCCACTCCATGCTTTCCACTTCTATGCCTTTGCTCAAGCTTTTCCTGCCAGCTGGAATCTTCCTACTCCCTCTAATCTGGCTGTTTACTTGACATCCTTTGAACTTCCACAGAACGTTATCTTTCACATACTTAGATTCTTCTTTTCCTTTTCTGGTTTGTCCCTCACGTGTGAGACCCTGCAGTGCAGGGGCAGTGTGTCCCTGCGCCGCGCCCCCCCCCCCCCCCCCCATAGTGCAGAGCCGTGTGAAAGAAGACAGTACTCAGTAAGGATTTGGGCATAGGTGAGTTCTCTCTCCGAGGTGGTTTTTTTCCTTCAACATTTTTCATTTTCTTTTTGAGTAGTCCTTAACTTCCAGGAAGGTACCTGAAGAGGAAGCACCTCCTGTCCTCGGTCCAGTGGGGAGATGTGGCAAACATTCAAGGTTTGCCCAGTGCCTGGGACCGAATTTCAGAAGATGGAAATCAAGACCTTGTACATGGTACGTCGTCTTTCATGGCCTCTCTCCCTTCCTGGTGTCCCGCCTCTTTGAAAACACTTTCAAGAGGTCTTCCTGGTACCTGTGTGTCTAATAAATCTGATGTCCCGTGTTCCCTGGAGGGGCGGTATGCCATGATTTTTCTCTCTTCTAATTGCAGATATGCTGTTGAGTGTTACCTTCTTCCTGGAAGAGTAAGGATGCTGTGTGTTTATCTGGGGAACAAAACTGGAGACCCACATTGCTGCTCTCTGATACTTTCAAAGCAGTTCCTAAAGAAATGCCAGTATTACAAGCTGACATATTTAAATGTCGATGTCTGCAGGCTAAGGATTGGCTTTTGGGAAGGTTGGTGGTAGATGTTGGTGCTTTGTTCCAGGTCACGGCCAAGAATATGTGGGTCACCCTTTGTCCTTCCCTGAGACTTAGGAGAGGTTGGAGACAGAAGTCTGGAAAGGCAATGCTGAAGAATACCAGGGGCAGAAGCAACAGTCACAGAAGCGGTTGGAAGGAAAGCACAGGTGAAGAGGGCACTGAGCCTGATTGATACCAGGCCCTGGTTTTGTGTATTTGTGCCAGTGTCGAATTCCTTGACAAAAGAGAAAGTGACTCTGATCATGTAAAGACTTACGGGTGATGATTGTTGACACAAAACAGAAACTGTTTTCGATCACAGCAACTCCTTACAGAGACAGTGCCCGTCTCCAGAGCCCACCGCCAGGGGGAGGCGGTGCGGCGCGAGTGATTCTCAGAGCTTGGCTTTGACTGCTGTCCGCAGTTGCGCTTGTCACTGGAGAGTAAGTAATTGGCGATCTAGGGACTGCTGTCGAGACATGGTCTTAGGGACAAAGCTGGCGACTGACTTGCCACATTCCTTTGACCGTGGAGCAGCTGCCCGGGTGGGAGGACGCCAGCCCACTGCCATCACCCGAGAAATGGCCTGCTCCTTCCAGACCTGTCAGCTGCCTTGGCGCTTGTAAAATCTCATGTGCTGCATGGAGAAAGTATAGATTTTTTCAAAAAGAAAATGACCTTTTTCCTGACTGCAAAAGAGATCCTTTTTTCTTTAATCATAGCAGTTGTAGAAAGGAAGCTAAAATGTGGGAAAGTATGACACAAATTCTGTTAGAGTGAGCTTGGTATGTGTCCATATGCCCAAGTCTTTGAACAAAGGGAGTGCGATATTACTGAAATACTCTCAACACAATTATATGCCACTTAGGCACATTTATGTACCATTTGGTGAATGTATTATGTCTTCCATTTTCCATGTATTTTTCTAAATCCTCATGTTCTTTCTACCTATAAAGATAATACACTCTAATCATGACTGTCATATACAAGTAAATCTTTTTTTTTTTTTAAACAAATGCAGGATTAATTGTTGGAGGGGGTGGGGCTCAGTCTTGCGTCAGGCTCCCAAACACAGCAGCTGGCACACCCTACTGCTTCAGCTGCACTTCACTGGGCTGGAGGTCCATCTCATTCTCATCCTCCCCCAACTCAAGCTCCTCTGGGTTGGCTTGCCGCCAGCTCAGCCAGCTCCTCTCAGGAAGCTTTGCTCCTCACAAACAAGATCTTGCTCTGGGCCCTCAGGAGCTAGGGAGGGACAGGCTGGGCTGTGGCCTGGGCCTGTACGAATGAATCTTAAAAGATACTTGGGCATCAGGTCATAATGAAATGTTTTTGAGCAGAGGTGAAAGAGTTAGGAAGGTTTAAGTTCAACCAGTGTTTAAACTGCATATAAGCCACTGGTATCTTGTTAAATCTTAGATTCTGGTTTGTAGGTCTTGGGTAGGGCCATAGAGTTTGCATTTCTAAAGAGATCTTAGGTAACCTTGACATCAGCAGTCCAAGGACCAGATTGAATGTAGAGGTCTAAGTTGTTATACAGTAATGTGTGTTGTAACTAAGATAAAAACAACATTCTGTGGGGGAGTGGGGGTGATAGCAAACTGCTTGTGGGCATTCATCATCATTACATCAGCATGATCTCCCTGAGGCTAATTGTACTTGGACCAGGAGAGTTTCACAGGACACTCCCTGAGTGGAACATGCTCTTAGCAAAGGCATTTTGAGAGTGGAAGCTGTATGCCTGCCACAATACCCACTTCTGTACCTTGTCTTTTCCACTTAATGTATCTTGAAGATTGTTCTATATAGTCCCATAAAGAACTCCCTTAATTATTTTTTAAAGGTCCATTTCTGATGTTCAGGTATGCCGTAATTTATCCTAGTAGCTCCTTACTGATGGACACTGAAGTGGTTTCCAGAGTCTTTGGATCTATAAGTTCTAGCAGCCCTCCCTCAACTGTCACCCCTGCTCATAATCTTATGTTCCTGGAATTTTTCAGTCAGCTAATCCCATTCCAACCCTGATTAAAACAAAAAACAGGTGATTTTACTGGAACCACATTAAATTTACAAGCTAATTTCGGGAGAACCGTTGTAGCAGGAATACTTCTAGTGCTTTCCCATTAGGCGTGCAGTGGCTTAGAGCTAACAGTGAATGTGATTCTCTGAGTTGGGGATGACTCTGGGTACTCAGAATCCGCATCACTCTAGTGAGACACTGTCCAGATTCACCCTTTCTAGGACACAAACGAGCAGGGATTGGGCCACCCTGGCCCACCTGAACTACCTCACTTGAACTAGACCATCTCTGTAAAGTCCCAGGCTCCAGTCATATTCTGACTGGGGTATTAGGACTGCGTCTGAATTTGGAGGTGGGCACTTTCAACCTATAGCAGCAACCTTGATTGTGGCGAGCAGAAGCCACCTGGAAGGCCGAAGGAGTGGAGCCCAGGAATCTCGAAGGATGCTGCTGCAAAGGGAGGAGGGTGGGGAAACACATGGTCAGCGCCGCGTGGCATGTGAGCCAGGTCATGGGTGGGAATGGGGGTCTGAGGCCAGGAATAGCCATGCTTAGATGATGTCTTCTCAGCTCAGGACTGGCTCTTCATAGGTAAGTTAACTCCATGAAGCTACTTACTCAGGAACTCCCTGTGAAGCCTCAAATAGGTCTTTTGAAAAGGACAGGGTCCCTGTAAGGCAAAGGGTGGAGCTGTTAATTGGAACTCTGGGTTCTTTGAACTGGCTCAGGTACCCTAGGGAGGGGACTCCAGGCCCCAGCCTCCCTCACACGGCTGAGGGCACAAAGCAAGCCACCCACAAGGGGTGAAGGAACAGCACAGAGAAGGGATCCAGCAGGGACTGCTTTGGGGAAGGGGCTTCTCCGAGAGCCAGTGGCTGCCCTGCCTCAGCCTCAGCTGACTGGTCCAGGTGTCTAGAGCTTATTGTGCAGAGGTTGGCAGTCATTTTTGTTGTATCTCTCAATGTTTAAATTACTAACAACTAATTTGGAAAAAAAAAAAAAAACAACAAAGTATGTCAGCTGATGTCAGCTGGGGCCTTTTTGGACAGATTGGCTGTAAGATTCAACTTGTCTTTGCAAGTATTCAGTCCTGTGAGTTCAGCCTATGCTTTAAGCCCAGGTTGGTGACCTGATTACCTTCTCAGTATGGGATGGACTGATCTCTGCTGGGTGGTTGGTATTTATTAGGCACTTGCTACGTGCTACACATTCCCCACAGTTTGGTGCAGTGAGCAGATCTGCAAAGGAGAAGCATGGGGGAGGGTGGCTCTGGGCAAAGCATGTTGGGTCCTTATCCCCTTTAAGTCTAGGTTGTCTCCAGTGATTATTTCTTGAAATGAATAACCTTTATTCCAGCTGGCACTTGCCAAAGGGTCTTCATCAGCCGCCAGATGACCTAAGTAAGGACACCAGACTGTTTTCTCTTCCACAATCATTCCCAGTGTAGGAAGAACTTTTGCAAGTGGACTGGCGAGGGCCTTGGCTCTTTGGGAAGTGAGGAGCGTGATCACATTACCTGTGCCTGCTTTGTCTCCGGCCATCAAGACTGGACCATACAGGTAAACATAGATATCCAGATTTTGTCCTTCCATGTGTCTAGCTCAAGGATCAGAGATGCTGGTGAAGCTTACTTGGGTTGGTTGGGTAGGGTTGAAATTACCTAGGTCCCAGATCTTGGGGTGAGGCCTCTTCCAGTTATCAGAAATATCTGCCTGAAATAGAGGTCTCTGTATATTCTGAGCAAAGTTGTTCAAAGGCCCCTATAAAATCATCTGAGCCTCTTACTGTCTCCAGTGCAGTTAGCAGATTGGAGATGACAGGCAGGCTGTGTTCTGATTAGAAAAAACTTCACCTTTATTGAAAACTGATTATACTGAGAGCTACTAAAAGTTAACATATCGGTATACAGATAAACTTGCTCAGTGTGTACAAAAGTCTTGAGAAAGGGAGATTAAAACAACTTGGGGAAAAAAAGCTTGAGTAGGAAGAAGAGGAACATCAGACCCTGTTCTGGAACTTCACACTCAAAAAATAAGGCTGAAGGGAAAGACCTCTTCAGGGTCCCAGAAGTGCCCACTGCAATTCCACCCTGTCAGCCGGGCTCGGAAGAGCAGCCTCATCTGTGAGTCCGGATGCTGCTGCAGATCTGGGCGAGACGGCTCTAGGAGGGAAGAGGAGAGAGGTCACCGAGATGCTGGCCCTTGGCAAGGTGGCCCAGGCAGCCCTTAGCCTAGTCTGACAGCATACCACTGGCTGTCTTGAACCTTCCACTTGTGTCACAAAAGAACTGATCTCTGAATTGCCATTTTGCATTCTGAATAAGTTACCTGGCACGTGAGACGGTGAAGGCGCAATCTTCCCACATTAAGGCTTTAGGGTGGTACCGGTTTTGAGTAGCTGTGTGGGGGACTAGGCACTGGGCCCACATTCAGCGGAATGTCTTTGGAAAAACAGCCCACCCACAGGTGGGTCCTTGGAGGTACCCATCGCAACCAAGAAGGGCCAGCCTTTGGCCAAGCTGGCAATAAGTGTTCCTGTCCACTACCCAAGCTCATGCGGACTGGAGGGAGGCCCAGCCAACCAAAGCTGCGGCAACCAATTATGTTGTGCCACTTGAGTAGTTCCATTAAACCAAGAAACTAGACAGCCAGGGCAAGAAACTGCAGATACACTAGGGCTGCCCAAAGCCAAATCCAAACCAATACTAGGGCAGCAGAACCACAAGCCTTGTGGAGGCTTTCTGCTAAAGGGCCTGAAGAGGTAAAGGAGAAATGGTGTACAGGCCTCACAGACACCACTAGGGGAGCTGGTGCACAGAGCGGGGCCCCAGCTACTGTCCCTGCCAGAGGCATGGCTATCGGGCTTTCTTTGATTGTCTGCGACTCCATGTAACCAGCCCCTCCCCATGTTACACTGAGAGGTGTCAGTTCCCAGTGGACAGTGAGAGCAGCATTTGACTGTGCTGTGCCACAGCCCCTGGCAGGCACCCTGGGACAGTCAATACTTGGAATTCATCCGGGGATAGACTCGCTGCTGTGAGCAGGACAGCAGCATGCTCCCTTGGGTGGGGAAGGCACAATGCCAGGTAAAAAGCAGAGGCACGGGGCCGAAAGACAGCCCTGAGCGAGTTAAGCCAGGAAAGCTGAGAGACCTCCTGTATGCTGTGGAACTGAGACTTACGGAGAGCTTCCTGACGTTTCCCAAGGCCTCTGGATCCAGCTGTGCGATGTCCACTCTCTGCAAGTCACTGGCCAGTAACCGGATGCTCTGTGTGGAAGGGAGCGAGGATTACACTGACTCATTCCTTAGGACAGGAATCTCCATCCAGCAGCCCAAAGTGCCTCAGGGGTTCCCCTTGATAGCTCGCACTTGGGGTGTAATTGGGTAAGGTGGGGTTGTCAGCCCTCAGGAGATCGGGACATCAGTGCTTCCACTGGGCCAGGGGCCAGATCAAACAGGTACAGCGCTGCACACTAACTTAGGAATGTCATGCACACCTGCACTCAAGAGAGACTATCTCCTGTGGCTGGAGCCAAGGGGCGTGCTCCACGCTGCCCAGAAAGCCAGGCTGTGTTTGCTTCAAAACCACTGGAGTGACAGGATGCAGCTCATGCTGCCCTTGGTACACAGGATGGGCCCTGATGGTGCCCTCCTCTGGCATCTCTATTACTGCATGTGTGCCACGGCACTGAACATAAACACATCGTGACACTGAACGGCTTCTTGAGTAGCAGCCATGTCGCCTACATCTCAGGCCTGCCACAAGATGGACAGGCAGGCAAAAAAGAGCTGGTGAACAAATGGCACCCAAAGCTGGGCCATGATCCTCAGTCTGGGCCCCAGACCTAGGAGAGAAACTGGGTTCCAAGTCCTACAGAAGTACGGAGAGCAGTATCCATGCAACTGAAAGAAGTGTGGGGCAGGGAAGCAGGCCAAGGGGAAAGATTGAAGGAGCAGCATGGGGAGGCCCAGTTTCCCTCTGGGGACATTACCTCTCCGCCTCCCACTGGCACTGTGAGGAAAATCTCTCTGCTGTCTGCGAGAGGGCTGCCATTCACCGAGACATTGTAAATCCGCTCTCTAGCTGCTGGAGTACGCAGGCCTGGGGTCTTGAAGACCCTACAAAACGGGAAAATCTCTGTAAAGATGGGTTGGCAGATTGAATGACACCAGGCGCCGTTGGCCCTTCCAGTCTCCATCTGGCCTCAAGCTGCGGTATTCAAGTCACACATTTCTAAGAAGGCAAGTTCTAAATTTAAAGGGAAATTTTTTCAAGTGGTAATGACTAAACACAGCTGGAGAGAGGAGATTGTAATTATCAAACATACATTTCATGAAAGCCACGTAGACTTAGGTCCAAGCTCATGTGGACACCAGGCACCCATCAGCCGCCCATCCATAAACTATGGTTAAAGTATTTCCAAGAGTTGGCTAGGTGCTTTCATCAAGAGGAATTTTCCAAGGTCAAAAGGAGATGATTCAGATATTAATTCCCAAACTTTCTCAAGACAGTTAAAATGCTGCTACCTGTCCTGCCCAAATGGCCTTTGCTAGAAGCACATGGGAAAAAAACCAAAGAATCAGTCTTCCTTACTCTCCGCCAGAGACAACCGCTCTCAATTCCTAATGGATCCTTCTAGAACCTTCCCATGTGGGCTCCTCTGGGACATGCAGCTCTGCTCCCTCCTCCAAGATGCACGTGATCACAAAGCCTGTGCCCACCAGCACTCACAAGCCCACCTTGTTTTGAATGAAGATCCTCTCTTATGGTATGTAGCTAAACAGCCCTATGAAGGTGTTCACTATGCTGGAGCATTCTTATTTCTACAGGTTTCCCAAAATGTGTCAATTTTCTCATTTGGTCAGAAAGGACCAAGAATGTCACTGGAAGCCCCCTAGTGACTGAGACAGGATGTTTTCCTTCCATCAGATGAAGAATCATTTTGTCACTGAAAACAGGTGAACGAACCATGCTCAGAAGCCTTAGAAAAGTCTCCTCTGAGAGGGCTTCCCAGGCCAGGATTCAGGAGTATTTCCTCAGCACCCTTCTTTCTGACTGGGCTGTCAACACTCACCTTGAGTCAAACCTGGGCGTCAGGCCTGGAGTTGGTTTCACCATAGATAACTCCAGTCGACCCACGGCTGGCGTAACAGTGTTGCAATGGCTTGACCTGCAGATACGTAGTGACCATTAGGTTGCCAACTCTCAGTCCCATGGCAGCAGCAGAGGTAGGTAAAGCTTGGAGAGCACCATGTCAGATGCTGTGCTGAACAACACACCCTGTATCTAGGGGCTTCCAAGGGTCCAGCCCTTTACACAGGGCCAGAAGGAACATTTTGAGAAAAAGGCTGGGGTAGCTCTGCCCGTGGACTGTCAGTCAACTAAACACAAATGGGCCTGACTACGCTACCTTCTCGCTTCAAGTTTGGGGAAAAAAAAAAAAGTGGGGAGGACAGGTTATGGGTGGCAGGACAGGTGAAGTTGGGTCAAGTCCGTTCTAGTGGCCCCTCCAGCCAGACACTTAAGGATTCAGAGCTTAAACTACTTGGACGTGAGAACAAAAGTCCTTCTCACCTCCTGTTTCACCTTCATATGTGGGGTTCTCCAATAAACCCCAAAACATCTACATTGGGAAAACCCCACTACCTTTTGGTTCTGCCCTTCCCTTGAATGGACTGGGTTCTCTTCTTGGATGGAGGACACCGTTTGACCTAAAATTACAATAAAATGAAAGATCACATAGAGCTCTATAAAGAAGAAAGGTAAGCAAGGGTAAAAAATAGTTGGGAGGTGGAGACCAACTCTGGAAAAGAAAACTTAACACTGAACATAGGTCTGTCTCACAGAATCCAGCGACTTATAAATAATTCAGAATATAATGATCAAGTAAGGACTCCTACAAGCTGGATCTTCAAAATTGAGAATTTTGGCCAAGATTAAAGGTTTAAAGTCTCTTTAACGGATTGCAACCTGGCTTGTTCCTGCCTCCAGCCCCCACTTTACATAACGTGCATAAAGGCTTTGGGGTGCTCAATCTGAGGAATCCTCAGCGGTCACTGCCCCACCCAGAGTCCTGGGAGAGACCCCACATGGACCGTTCCTGACTCTTCGACACAGTTCCCCACTCCCTTGTCTGCTGAGATACCCGCCCAGCTTCCCAGCTCCCCTGCAGTGGGCCCATGAGCTCTTCTATCTACCTCCCTCCTAGTGTCCATCCTCAGCCCCCCTCCCCATGCTTCCCCTACACAGCCCCACTGACTCCCACAGGGACCTGTGCCTTCAGAGCAAGACTAGTGACACATTAACTGTTGCCCTTCACCCCAGCTCAGGCCACTTTTCCTCCAGGGGGCATCCCTCTGGCTAGCAGCCTGTGCTAGAAACCTATTCAGTCACCGTCACCATCTTGTCCATTCTTCCTGTTGGACACTAATCTCAAAATCATCCCTTTTTATAGGGTCAGTGCCTGAGTTCAAGAATTACATTATAAATCAACATTACCTAAAAAGAAAACACTAAAAAATTTACAGTGCCTCCCAAACGCCTTCCTTTTTCTCCCTCCTGGTTATTGTGAGCAGTGTCTGAACACTGATGTGATCATGTCACTTAGCACATAATGAAATGCAAACTCCCCAGCTTGGCACACAAGGCTACTATCTGGCTCCTACTCTCCCCAGTTGCCTTCAACGTGGAGCCCAGCCACACCAGCCTGCTCCTGTTCCTTGACCAGACACTCGCCTGCCTCCTGCAATGCCCTTCTCCAGCGCATGGAAACTCAGTCACCTTTAAAAGCCTGCCTGGGACTTAATGGGGAAGGTAAGTCCTGACAGATTCCCTTCGATGCTCCATGCACTTAAGTTCTGTGATCACTATATGTCATTGGTCACTTAAGGAGAGAGGGGATCTCCTTGATGAGTCTGAACTCTGGGAGGACAACACTATTTTACATATTCCTGGATTTCTTTGCCCCCATTCCCCACTCCAGAGTGCCTACTTACCCGCAAAGTTTGATGATTCTTAGTTTTAGTCTCTTCTTTTTCTTCTTCTTCCACTATCATTTCATCCACTTGCATTATCTTTCGTGCTATCAGAAATAGTGTAAACAGTTGGGAGCTTCCAAGAATTCACACTTCTTAGAGAAAATAAAACTTAAGCAATTATAGGCTGTAATCAAGAAATAGGCCTAGTATAAGGATGACTTTTCAAAGGATTTAGGAAAAGATAATCATGGAGGCTAAGACACCCCTGTGACCCCAAGAGGGCAGCCAGGCATTCTGACGGAATGCACGCCTGCAGCAGACAGCCTGAGCTTGGGGCCTAGCTGACCTAGCAGTTGGCTACAGTCACATGGCTCTCATCGTCGTGTCTCCGTTTCCTCAGCAATAAAAGGGAGTAGCCATTTTATAGGCTAGCAAGAGACTGGAAACGTGTGTTCCACATGCTGAGTTACTCCTTTTACAGTTCTAACCCTGCTGTCACACTAGGGGAGTCTCAGATGGCTTCCCCGAGACTAATACACTCCTAAAGCTCACTCACCTCTCTAACCCAGAGCAGCAGACAACAGTGTTGGTATCCTTTCACTTCCATTTAGCTCATTTATCAGTCTTTTTTTAAAAAAAGGCTTATTTTATTTATGCATACAAGAACTGGAATGTAAGCAACAGGTGCAGGGGGTGAGAGGATTCACCAGAGACAGTGGGAAGCAGAACAGGCAGAGCTACTGATATATACTGCTGTGGGGAGGAGTAGGTGAGACAGGAGAGGTCTGCTGTGCCATGTGGGTGCTGGGTCCTTGCAGGGGAATCAAACTCATGCCTCAGTGGCTGGAGAGACTTAGAACTGAGACTTAACTCCTGTGCCACCAGGGAGGCTCTCAATGTATGTATCAGTCTTAACAGTATCAGTTCATTTCAGTCCTGCACACAGTTAACTGAATGCAGGTGCCAAAGTTAAATGTTTAGATTTATAAGACAGAGGGCCAGATATTACAGGGAAGGGTTTCCACCAAGAGGCTCCCCCTGAGCAGCCAACCATCCTAGGCTTTGGCTCCCTCGCTTCAACAAGGGGTTCTGAAAAGTACTTACCTCTGGCAGATTTCAGGGGTGTCTGAATAGCTTCTGTTGTTAGTTTGTTTATTTCTGTGATATCCAGGTCAGCCTGTGACAACAGACACATCCCATCAAATATAACGAAAAATACCTTAAGACTTAAAAATAATTATTTGAAACATAAAAGATCAATAATTACAAGTTAGATATAACATAGTATAGTGAGATCCCATAAACGTACCACCTAGAACATTGCCAATAATTTTTCTATTGTTTTACTTCTTTGCCTCTCCAAGGAACCGGTCTCCTATTATTCCCAAGAGATAAGCAGTATCATTCTACCTGCGCATAGATGCATGCCCCACACGTACATATGCTTAAAATTTTTTGTTTTGTGGTCCCTCTTTGACTGTATTTAATTTGTTTTTACTGTTTCATAATTTTCCACTGTGACATCATCTCACAATGGATTTGCCAATGTCCTGTTACCATTACAAACACTTACTTTGAACTGTCTTGTGTCTGATGTGCAAGTTTTCTCTTGGCTGTAAACTTACAGGTAGAGTATTACAGTTATAGGGCACATAAGCCCTCAGTACTTATTTACATCCCACTAGCAAATAACAGTGTCTAATAATATGTATCTACATTTGTGGTTATGCAGACTTGTCATTTTTTTTAAGTCTAAAAAGTCTCAGACTTTCTGTTGTGCTCCTGTCCCTTTGAAAAGGCTCCCACTGCCTTTCAATAAAATTTGTTTTCTTAGTCTTGGTGGTGACACCCTGTATGCATGGGAGTAGGCTTGATTCATAGCCCTTTCCTTGTAGGTCACGTGTAAACATCAGAAGAGGTGTTACAAAGTAGGTTTGACACAGATCACATCCCTGGATTGGTGAGGACCACTTGAATTGCTCAGGAGAATTCAGAGATTATTCAGTTTAGGAAAAAACTGTTCTTTAGTTTTGGTTGAGAGAATGAAAGTGGTGGGTAACTTTCTGTACTCTCTGGAAACAACTGGCATGTTATAAAGTATCACTGGTGGCAGGCTCCTGATAACCAATGTCCAAGAGAATTAACACAGCAGCGACAAATATCTAGACTGTTATCAAGGCCTCCCTGGTGGTACATAGCACTATCAAGCTATCGCCAACCACTGCAGTTTGAGTTCTATCCATGAGTTCTACCCCTGGCCAGCCAGGGAGGTGACCCACATGGCACAGCAGACCTCTCTAGTCTTGGCCACTGCTCCCCTCAGCAGTGTTTTATTTCAGTAGATCCGCCTGTTCTGCTCCCCACTCTGTCTCTGGTAAATCATCCCACCCCCTCATCTCTATTCTACACCCAGTTCTTGTATGAATAATGAATTTTTTTAAAAAGATTTATTTATACAGAACTGGGGTACAGGCCAGAGACACGGAGGGTGAGAGGAGTCACCAGAGACAGAGCGGGGAGCAGAACAGGCAGATGGAGGAAGTACACTGCTGAGGGGAGCAGCGGGCGGGCTAGGAGAAGTCTGCCTCGCCATGTGGATCTCCTCCGGGGCAGGCAGGAATCGAACTTATGCAGAAGTGGCTTAAGCTTCTTAGTGCAGTGCTTTAACCCACTGCGCCACAAGGGAGGGCCTGAATAATGAATCTTTAAAGAAAAACTGCTGTTTATCTTTAGAAATGCCCGTTTACATCATTGATCTATGGTTGGTACGGGAGAACCGAGTATGAACTTAGACTTCGGCGTTCTTATCATTCCCTAACTTGGATGGATCACTCTCCCTAAGCTTTGTACCAACAATATGATTTATGCTAAGCATGTACTTTCCCTCTGAAGTCTGGAATTTGGTATATGCTAGGTAGAAGATGTCCCCAGTAAAATGATTTATGCTAAGCATATACTTTCCCTCTGGAAAGTCTGGAATTTGGTATATGCTAGGTAGAAGATGTCCCCAGTAAAACTCTGGCTATTGAGTCTCTAAGGAGTTTGTTGTGTTGAACTAAACAAGTCCTGCTAGGACTCCATTGATGGAGAATTTTTGGGACCTGGAACCTGGCTTCCTCTGAACTTTGTCCCATGCACTCTCTCCTCATATGATTTGTGTCCTTTCAATAGAAAATCACAGCCACGAGCATGATATATGCTAAGAACCACCATTCCTGGAAGTGGTTCTGGGAGTTTCTCACATCCTAATAAAGAACTTTGATACCAAAGAATCTTTCCTTCCCTGGGTTTTAAGTCAGATTAACTAAGGCTAGATTTCTCTAGATTTTGTGTGATAACATTGGAGATCTTATCATATTAGAAGCTGTGGTAGTTCTTTGTCTGATTAAATAACAGGGTAATGTATTAGCTAATGAGTGAGTTCATCTCAGAGGTTAATTCCTTTGAACCATTAGATCAAAATTGTGCAGGAGAAACATATAAAGAAAGAGTAAACATGGATTGAGAACATTTTACTAGCTCTTGATTTTATTTTTTTATTATGCCCACCCCGTCTATACAAATGTTCTCATTTCCCTCTGATCGAATAGCTGCCCCTGAGAGCCTTTTAACTTCTGAGGCTGAAGAGCTGCTATTCAGTACTACTATGCTTCCCTTTATGCAGTCAGACCCTTTCAAATTGTGAGGCTCCAGAGACCAAATGACCAACACATAAAAGAATGTAGATTTTGGGGTTCACTTTGTAAATCTGATGGAGGCTATAGTAAACTTTCTTCCCAGAATGACACAAATGTATGTGTGCAGATGCATTCAGGGTGCCCTGGGTCTCTGTGAATTCCTCTGGACCAGTCCCACTATGGTGCAACAGAGCTTTCTAGAGGGGAAGCAATGTTCTATTTCTGAACTACCAGTTCAGTGGCCACTAGTCATATGTGGCTACTGAACATTTGAAATGTAGCTGATGTGTCTGAGGAAATGAAGTATTTTTTTCTTTTAAATAAATTTAAGTAACTACATGTGGCTGGTGGCTACTGAATGGATATTGCCTCCCCATCTTACTGCCTTCAGTCCTGGTACTAAGAGTGGAAAGGATCAGTGAGCTGGGTGGCGAATCCCGAGAGCCCCAGAGCACTGCCATGACACTGTGTAATGTCAGTGTGTAATGACCAGTGACAAAAGGAACCTGGTTCGAGGATTTTTACTTCTATGCAGCAGTCAGGGCAAAGGGCTGCACGAAGCCTGCCCCAAATAGGCCTGTCTCCTTTCACAGAGTTTGAAACTATTTGTGCTTCATATACTCAGCATTTGACAATTACAGTTTTTCAGTTACACAGATAATGTCCCCTTACGGATCTTCCTCCACAGCAAGTACCCACTGATGGGTTTCGTGACTGGATTAAACTTAAAAACCAACACGCTGTTCAAAACTAGGACAGGCCACTTACCGTTGCTGCTTTTTCTAGGGCACCTTTGTTTCCTCCCAGGGCTTAAAAAAAGAACATGTCGTTTAGTTAACAATAGGTTTTAATGATAAACCATCTTCCCAGATACAAACATTTATGTCTCTAAAACTGGACCAACTTAAGTCCTTGCACATTCAATCTCTAGTATTCACGATCTAGTCTAACCTCGACGCATCCCTGTCATGACCTAGTCTATGCTCCGTTAAGGTTCCTTTTATTTCTCAAATGTGCCTCAGTCTCTCGTGACTTAGTGTCTTGATATTTATTAGTGTTTCCTACCGAAATACTCCTTTGTATTTGTCAAATACCTAATTCATCCTCCAAAACTTAGCTCAAACCCAAAATTCTGTTATTTTTCTACCAAACAGACTGCTGCCACTTTGAGTTAGCTGCGCACGCTCATCATACCCAATAAGTACCCAGAGCTGTTTAAGTGTCCAACGAGCTTCAAATGAATTCCTGGAGGACAGAAATACCATCCATAGCTTCTGGCAAAAATGACATGCAAAAGGTATGTAGTAAGTGTTTGTTGAATGAAGGTCTTGGCAGATTCAGATGAAGAATAAAATGTTAGTCCTCCTGCCAGGCACCTTTGTATGTATCTCATGTAACAGTTAAGAACTCAGGTTTTGGAACCAGAAAATAGACTGCCACTAACTGGTCTGTGAGCCCTTGGGCAAAGTACCAATCTGTGTGTCTTAGCTGTCATCTATAAAAACATGAGCAGTATGAATAATGAACACAGTATCTATGGGGATAAAATTAGTTCCTATATGTGAAACCCTTGGCAAACCCCAGTCTTGCACAGGAAGCACTTCAAAAGTGTACAGGAGACCATTACTCTATCTCTTTTGTGGTATTTATGATTTTCAGTTTCTTTGATTCCCCAGTGCCTCTTCATTATGTAACACTGTGACTGACACATGCCCAAGGAATATTTGTAAACAGATGGATTTGCAAACAAACAGATTAGCAAAAGTTTCAGTCAAATGATAATTAAAAGCCTACGATACACTTCTATCCAGGATAGATAATAGTAAGATAATAACTAGATAACAGTAAGGAGACAGGAAAAGGGTAACCCAGCAGAAAAGACTGGACCAGGGAACTAGGATGGGATTCTTTCTTGTGGCCAGGGACAGCCTTGGGCCCTTCCTTGCAATTCACCATTTGATTTGTCCATTTTTAGTTGGCCATTTATACCTGCAGAATCTGCAGAAAGAGCTGGTTGCGGTTATCCTTCCACGGGAGCTCTGGTAACAAATCACGTTAGTCAATCATTTATTAATTTTTATAAGCTTGGATAAAATATCAAAAAACAAAATATTTGGTGACACATTGAGTTTATGTGAGGTTCACGTTTCACTGTATGCATAAACACACTGGAACACAGCCACGCCCATTCATTAGTTTCTGGAACTCTGACGGCAAAGCTTAGTAGTGGCTACAGAAACCCTTCTGGCTCAGAAAACCTGAAATATTTAGTCTTTTGTTCTTTAGAGAAAACGTGTATCTGCCTACGGGCGAGGTGAGGATGAGCATTGTGGGGAAAGCTACCAGTGGGTGAGAGGGGCCTGGGGAAGCGGTAGGATGGCAGTTTCCCACAGCGGCCGCAGAGGACGCTAGGTGAGGGATGTCCGGGTGACCGGGGCTCGGGAAACACTGGCCGCGCTTACCGAAGTACTCCAGCCAGTTCATCTCGCGCAGCGCCTTGGGGAGCCGCATAATCTCCATTTCGTACAGGTTATCTATCTCCTTGAGGAGCTTCTCCCCGTCTGACTGAATCTGTTTGTTTCGTATTTCCACTGCGAAAAGGCAGAACCGACAGGGCACGGGTTACCTGGTGGGTAAGGCGGTTGGAGTCCGAGCCGCCAAGCCCGATCCCCCGCGGCCCCCGGCGAGTGCCCAGGCAGCAGCCTGGGCTGGGGCTCCGCCCTTACCTTCCCGGTCGAAATCCTTAAGAAAGGAGGCGAGTTTTCGGCTCCGTAAGGAGTTGGTCTTGGCCACCCCACGGCTGCCTTTCCTGGCCGGAGCCATGGCGTTTGGCTGGAGGCTGTGGAAAACGGGGTACCGAGCCACAAGGGGTCAGCGGCAGACGGCGCAGGGAAGCCAGGGACCGCGAAGGGGCGGGAGAGGGCGAACGGCGTCCCAGGCCTGTAGGGGAACCTCTCTCCTTCCGGGCCTGTGCACAAGGAATCTCACGGCGCTCACCTGCTGTCCAGAAACCGGGCCCCAGATAAAGATTGGCCGATCCCCGCCAGACGCGCTACCGCCGACACCAAATTCAAACTGCCTCTGGCTGACGAATGAGAAGTCGCCGGCTTAAGATTCCCCCGGCACCCAATCACCTGGCGGCTTCCCGATCAGGCAGCCAGTCCACAGGCAGGACTACAACACCCAGGAGGCTTTGCGGCCTGACGACATACACTCGCGACCCGGTGGCCATGTTGGTGCTTGCGCGGGGGCATTGCAGTCGCGCTGGTGGCGGCCCTGGCGGGTCCGCGAAAGTTGGTTGCCTTAGTTTTACGTTTTCCCGCGGGTTTAGGGAGCGCGACTAGCGAGAACACAAGGCTCCCTCTCCGGACGTCGGGGTCAGGTGCGCGGGAGACCGCCTTGGGCGTGCTCAGTTGTGACAGAGTGGGGCTTCCTGAATACACAGCCTTGCCGGTGAGAGTGCAGTGCCCCCAACTGGTTTGGCGACCGCACCCAGGGCACCCAAGCCTCTCCAGGAAAACTGCCACCTTGCCAGTTACCCTCCCTTCTGAGCTCATAGCCAGGCCGGCTGCAGTGAGTCCTGGGGCTATCTGCCAGCGTCCAGCACTTGCCCTTGACACCAGGATGGCGGCGAAAAAGGTGCCAGTCCTTAAGGAACGACAGGAGGGACGCCTTCCAGCACTATCTTCCCAGTCATGCCTGGAAGGCTCCTTGGTTTCCACTTAGTACAAATGAAAGTCATTCTTTCTGAGATTGGTATGAGTATAGTATATGAAGGCCCCAGTCCCAAAGACCCTGGTGCAGTGTTGGGAGCCAGGGGCAGCTACAGTCTTGCCAAATATCCCTCATTCTGTTGCTGGTGACTCCCTAAGAAATAGCCTTAGTGCTGGAAAAAAATTAGCAGACAGCAAGTTAGGTAGAGTAGCCATACAGATTGCCCTTCTCTGGGGAGGAACCAGCCTTAATGCCTTCTTCATCACATTCCTTGGTTCTTGGAGTGCCAACAAGGCACAGGACAGCTTTTCTATGACCTAGGCAGATGAGTAAAGGTGGAGGCCTGGAGCCTTGGGTGGCTTTTCAGGCTTTTAATGATCATTCTACAGCATTTGCGTGAGGCCTCCTAGTCCCGGCAAATACTTTCTGGGCTCTCTGGCTTCTCTCATAGTCTGGCCTCCGGTCTCATACTGCACTGCCCTCTGCCGCAGCGTGCTGCTGCTGCCGCCCTTATATACCAGTCTCTCCACTCAGCGCACCCACTCACCACGCCCACACGTCCTCCAGGTGCCACCCTCAGGCACGCGTGTCAGTCCACAGGTGTCAATCACTGATGCTTGTGGAGGGAGGGTGGAAAAAACCTGCTAAGTTCCTTTTACACAATAGTTCCTTAGTTGCCTCCCAGCAGCTACCAGTCTTCAGTTCCAGCAGAACCTTGGTGCTGCCCTCCCAACCCCTCTGTGCTGTTGGAACGGAGTGACACTAGCACCGGTACATGGTGCCCGTGGTCTGTCACCCATGATCATTTACTCAGAAGCCTCCCTGTGCAGCCAGTACAGAACTAATTACCGACGATGGAAAGACAAGAAGTACATGGCTTAGTAGGCCAGGGAGATGCGTACGCCCATCGCGCCACCTAGAACATGTTCAGAGAATGTGGGGGATGGAGAATGAGTGATTCTGTGGGAGGTGAGTCAGGAGAATGAAAGGTAGATCTTCAGCAGTGTCATGTCCGGGAGCATCTGTCCTCAGGTCTGTGATAGAGCAGGTGAGGGGGAGGGGCCCGCGTGGCCTTGGTGCCATCACATGAACGGGGAGCAACCCTACGAACCCCAGGCTCTTAGCTCCTGATTCAGACGTGTGCAGTGGTTCTTAATTTGCAGAGAGCCCAGACTAATAAATTCACTACTCAATTGTAATCCCCACAGTGCATTTATAGGCAGCAGCTGACTTTTATCAGCTAGTTTGTTCTTTCATATAAGCAGAGTTTTATGAGGGTCTCCTGAGCTGGCTCATAATGTGATGAAACGTCTGCAAAACTCAACCATAAATCCCCGGCACCTGCCAAGCAGAGGATGCTGTTTTCCAGGCACATTTTGTCCAGCTGGCGGCTCTGTCCCCTTGCCCAGTTTGCATTTTTGCACTTGTCTCTTTAAGCTTGGATTTGTTTTTCAGCTCTCTGCGGCCTCTTTAAAGGCAACTGAAAAATGAGGGGTAGGAAAAAGGAACTAGAAAGTTACGTCTGTGCTAAAAATTGCCCTTGGCTTATGTTACTCTGCAAGCTGGTTTTGATCCCTTAGCTGAAACAGAGACATCAGGCTTCCCAGCCACATGAACCCCAGGGCGGGGACTGGAGGACAGTGCCAGCCAAGCCCGTTATTAATACTTTGATTCTTTTCTGGGCCATCACCCTTTGTACTTGCCAAAGGCCCCTCTCCTTGGTTGTCAGTTCGGTAAATTAAAGGAACAGCTCCAGAGGCCTTTTCCCCAGATGGTCTCTAAGCATGACATCTTTTCCCAGCATTTAGAGCACCCCCAGCACAGAAGGGATATTTAAATGTCCTCCCTTCTCCAAATAAGGCAAGACCTGGATTCTAGGAGCATGTTGGTTGGTTGAAGTGGACTGTTGCTTGCAAAAGCTACCAATGCCTCAGCAGGACATGTGCTCAGCCTGGGGCTTACTGAATCCGAGGCCCCAGGCTGTGCCCTCGAAAGTATTCACATTGGCTTTAATCTTGTCAGGGACTCCTAGGCCAGGAGAAGACTCCCAAGGCTGCCCTTTACTCACTTTCCCTGACCCCACTAGGGTAGCTTCTTGAGCATGTGACTTCTACTTACAAGGGTCCCCCAGCTTGGCCCAAACCTTTGTCAACCTCTCAATAGTTTTTTAACAAATGCTGGATTTCCCCCATGTACCAGGTCCTGTAAGTTGTGCCAGCCCTGCCCCCATCCCTTGGGTACTCCTGGGAGTAGCTTCCCCACAGCTGTGGACTCCCAACTCCACGTCTGCGCAAAGCAGGCTCCTTGCTTGTCAGTGAGTAATCTGGCTTCGTCCCACTCCCAAAGGCTCCTGTTAGCCCATCTTCTAGTTACAGCCAATGCCTTTCATGTGACAGTAGCTCTAATGGCCCTGAAGTGCCTGCCAATCCCATCTCATCAAGTGTCATCACCTGCTCCTGGCCCTTTATCACCTTCCAGAAGAGGCTTCTCGCTAGTGTGTGCTGTTAGGCAGAAGCTGCCTGCTCCGAGAGAGGAGCTGAGGTCTCTGCTAGAGGAAGCAGCCCCTATAACCCCACTTCCTCCTCAGCAGTCCCACATGGTTTCCTGCTCTGGGAAAGGAGACTCACTTTATTTTCCTGGGCCCAACACAGACACCTGCCAGGTGATGTCTTATTCCCCTGTCGGAATAGCCCTTCCTTTTCTCGGCGTGCTACTAGTATGTCTGCCACTTCAGTTTTTGTATCCACCTCACATCCCAAGTGGCTGAGTGAGGGCCTCAGCCCGTCTGAGCTGCTGAAACGCTCAGAGGCCTGGCAGCTGCCTGGTCTGGGTGGGAGACCTGCCCTACCTGCTTGGGTGCTGCAGGGCTTTGGTGGAGCGGCATGGAATGCAGGTGTAAAGAGCACACCCTTAGGCCCAACCTGGCTCGACCACCTAGGAGTGTGGTGGGCTTTACCTCGCTTTTTTACCCTGTAAAAAGCACAGACCATTATGTCCCTTATTAACAGACATAGATAAGGCCCAGCTCACCAGCTCACGGCAGGCAGGCTGGTTTTGCGTACATAGGTTTTTACCCCCCTGCCCTCCCCCACCCTACTTGCTGGAGGACTTGAGGCTGTGGCCATTTTCTTCTCTGATGGGTCCTTGCTGGGCTGAGGTATGGTCCGGGCTGTCAGTGTCTGGGAGCTGAGTGGGGTGAGGGAAGTAGAGCAGCAGGAGGGGAGCCCCACCCCAATGATGAAGAGCCAGGGGCAGGCACGGCAGAGCATCCTCCCTCCCCAGCCCTGCCTGGCTCGAGTTCCCGATCCACCCTGCATTGCCACACCAGAGGAAATGGCGGTCACTGTCCCAGCCAAACCCAAGGACTGTGGGACAGCCCTGACAGGGCCCAGCCACTGCATCAGGAGCAGCTCCTCCCCTCTGTGCACCCTTCCCTCCTCAGGCTTCACTGCCCTCTCCTTCCCAGAGAGTCCAGTGCATACCTCCTCAGGGCCAGGGCCTCTGCGGTGGCGGCGGCTCTGGTTGGAGAAGCTTCTGGACATCTGCCACTCACCCCAAGGGGATCTGAGCAGGTGACTTGACCTTTCTAGACTGAAGTGTCTAGAAAGCAAAAATACAGGGCATAAGGCGTAGATAAAAAGTTCAACTTTACAGATTGCTGCAAAAATTAAATGGGTTGATACAGAAAAAGAACTTTAAACCATATAATGCAAATATAAGTAATCTTTCTCTGAGTTGCCGCAGGGTATAGGAGACAGGAGGATTTAGTAACCAATAAGAATAATACTATCACTGTACTTACATGAATTGTGTAAATATATATTGAAGTGTGCGTATAATGTACTTACACTTTTTTGAGCAAGGTTTCTACTTTATATTTGCATCGAGTGCGCTTATCTTCATGACAGTAATCCTGTGAGATAGGTATGCTATTTCCCCATTTGAAAGAAAGGTTGATTGAGGAGGCTCAGGTGACTTTGCCAAGGTCACACAGCTGCTTAATGGGACCTAGTGTTGCGTCTGCTCCCTAGTCAGCTAAGATAGACCTGGCTAGGTGTCTTGCACTTTCTCCTGTGCAACACAGACCATTATGTCCCTCTGACAACCCCTGGGATGAGCCCCTGGGATGAGCCCATGCGTGGATAGCACCTGGCATGGTTCTGGGCACCTTTTCTTACACTAGCAGCTTCAAGAGTTGCTTTGGGGTGGATAGTGGCTGGAGGCAGCTTTTGGGGGGGGGGCAGCGGTTCACAACTGAGGCCTGCACTTCCCAGACATAGGGGTTCTGGTGATGGCTCAGTGAGGGAAGCCTGTTTCAGGTAGGAGCAGGTGTGTCATTTCCCAGCTATACTTGCAAAGCCAGGCTGGCCATGTGAGTCTCCCCCACCTGG